TTATTTAATCCTTTGACATGAGTCTGTTGATCTTGTTTCGTGCATTGTCTTCTTAGATTTGTCAGGCTGGAGAAATATGAAAAAGCCCCAGACAGTTTAAGAGCTGGCAAGTGAACCGTGGCAGTTTGTGCCCTCCGTGCATATGCTTCCACTTAATGGGATTTTTGAGTTCACCCTGTCAGCCAGCTGCACTACTATGCCTTTGTAGTCAGAGGGCTGGTACTTAAAGGTACGGAAGCTGATACTTACAGGAATCTGTTAAGATGACAATAAGATATTTTCTTCATTAGTCAAATGTGGCTTCTGGATTTTACTCTTCTGTAACCTTGTACTATTGGATTTACCATGTTACTCTGGGTAACTCATCAAACTTTTTGGGCATCCACTTAAGGACAAGTACTGGCTGCTGCACTCGCCTGCAGCTTCCTACACTGACTGTGACATTATATATCCTTCAGCATGTGCAGCCACATAGTATTCTCCAGATAATTTTCTACCAGTCTTACCAAAGTACAAGAAAGGGGTATAAAGCTGTAAAAGTGCTTGGCCCAAAAGAAACCTTTGAAGACATGAAATATTCTTTATGAGCAAGAGAACTGAGTTTAGTATGGTCTGAAAAGGTACAAGTGGGGTTTTTTGTGGGTTTAGATGGCAACTTTCATAAGAATAAGATGATTTACTTGTGAAATTATGTAATTCTACTTCCACATATTCTTCAAGTAATCAGATCATATAGGCCAAACAATACTGTTAAATGCCTGGCTTATTTAATTATGTATATATTACTTATTTTCATTACTAAAAACTTGAGGTATTGCACTGTTAACTTTATATCTGCAGCACAACATCACAATATGTGACTGTGATGCATGTGCATTCATCACTGAGAGGTACCGCACTGTAATCACAAAAATCCACTATATTAAATGCAGTTAAACTGTTTAACTCCCAGAAGAACCATACTAATTCACAACGATATTATTTACAGCAGAATTTGATTAAGTTAGTTTTGTAATATGAACTAGTAGAGAAAGACAATGCAAACTCTAACTCCCACACATTAGGGATAAATTCGTACCTGAATGCTGATTTCGATTGGGTATTGGATAATTGTAGTTGTGTACTGCAAACTCCTTAGAGCTATGCTATAACTGACGGGTTCTCAAACTGTATTAACTGGAAAATGGTACTTCACAAGTCTGTAGTAAGTAGTCCATAAATCATAGAAAGGAAGAGTTAGGTGACTAGCCAGGAAAAGGAGAATTTAAGGATGTACAGCCATGTACTAGTACTTCCTGGTGCAGTATTTTCCCCAAACGGAGCATGCTAGCTCTCCTATTGCACTGTTCACTCCCCGTACATAGTGATTTAATCAGGTCTCTGGGGCCTGCAGCTAATTCTGATCAGAAAATTGTTTTACTGGTGCTGCAACTTACGAGCTTTTACGTGAGAGCATTCTATTAGAGGACTGAAGTGGCCTTGGGCATGGACTATTTTTCCTGGATTTGAAACAAGTTTATAGGAACATACAGGAAGAAGGAGAGAACACAATGTTTATGTTTACTTACACCACCATTGGGAATCTCCATTTCAGGGATTTCTATTTGAAATTGCCTTTCATGTTCTGCAGAATGCTCTCTTTGCTTTTCACTGGGTAAGGAACTGGGGAGCAAGAGCTCTTTAATAACATATTCAGCTCTATTTGTTAAAGAACTGTTAAATTAGGGCAGACAGATCTGACATGACTCCTCTCCTGCTCACTTCTCAAGGAACTCTTGTTTAAAAGATGGGCAATGTCTAACAGGAACATGGGTCTGAAATTTTTAGTTGCTGAGATATCTTCTTAGCTGCTACCTTATTTGTAAGTGAAGACTGAAAGTTAGTACTGTAAAAGATGTATTAATACTTTTAATTATTTAACTGGCCCACCAAATGATTTGGCCAAGATCTATCAAAGAAACTAAAATGCCCCAAATTTAAGGAAGACAGCTGAGTGAACTTCAGTAATAAGAGGATGATTTAGAAAAAGCTGTGAGTAATTTGCTTGGTTATATTCTATACATAAAAATCAAAAAAGATATGCATCCTGAAGTTTACTTATTGTCAATATAGATTTAATTCAGAATACTTCAATTTTCAAAGAGTTTCCTTTTAAGAGAAATATTGTGTTATAATCTTTCAGCTGTTTACTTGAAAAATAGTGGGAGCAACCCAGTCGCAGATATTTGTTCTATTTTTTTGAATGAATGCAAAGGTGTATGGAAGTTATTAAAATTGCAAAGTTAACCCAGTTATTCAAATCAAATGTGATCAAATTAGTCAGCATAAAATGCAAACTTTTCTAAATTTAATATTTGGAGTCCATAAGGAGATTTTAAATACAGTGCAGTGCACACTTCAATCCCATGCAAGTTTTAAATAAAGTAGATGTTGTAAAACAGCTGAATATTAAATTCACTGCTTGTTTCCTTAGGAGTATTAAAGCCATAAACAGGTTATGCATGATACAGTAGTAGATGAAGCACTCCTGGGAAATAAGGCCTTTAACAAGCTTGGAGCACCCTGTGACCACGGCAAGCAAAAGATGAGCTCATCAATTTCATTATTAATTCATTCCTAAGAACACAGCTATGCTCATGTAAGATCTGACAAAACAGCGTGAGCATTAATTTTGCAAAACAAAGTCTGTCTGCACCACACAACACAGCAGGCAAAATTCAGCTGCAGCAGAGTGACTCTACCTGCTACATACAAATCAATTACTACCCATTGGTATACAACAGCAATGCGGTAATAAAGGTAGGTTAAAATATTCTGGAGTGGAAAAAATTATTAAACAGTGAATGTGAAGCAGGAAACTCTAAAAACAGGTGTTAAAACAAAACCTGGTGGTAAACGCAGTTGAAGAAAGGGTATATGCTCCCCACACAGTGAATAAAGAGATGTTGTGGCCCTCTCCATATTAAAACTCCTTTACTTTTCAGCATGAAAGCTCTAACGTTCTATCAGCATAGAAAATCCAGTTAAATGTTGTGGTGGCTGCAGGAGTATGAGATGCCCTTTTTCCTCAGATAGCTAGCAATTTGCTGGGAAGACAGAGATTTGTAAAATTAGGATTTCAAGTGCATTTTTCATCTGTGAATCTTGCTTATTAATTTTTGAATTTCACACAGAATATCTTGAAGAAGGAATTCCAGGAAGCATTTAAAAGCTGCAAGGGATGCCCAAGAGGCAGCAAAGTAATCCATCATTTGGACTGGAGAATGAATTCCAGTTATTCTACAAGAACAGCATTTCTGAAGGAAAAATAGTGCAAATAATACTTCAAAAGGAGTTCACTTTTTGTCTTCTCCCATAGGAATCAGTCCCCAAAAGTCAGGAAAAAGGCTCTCAAAAATTCCATACTAAATGATATGAAATGATAGTATGATATGAAGATATATCCTGGTACCTTCCCAATGAAGGCTGTAAACTCTCACAAAGACGATCTCATTGACTCCCCATAGAAAAATCCATTAATATTGTAAGAGCAGTTTATTGAATGTATGTCAAGACTCCTTGAGTCAGAGCATTTTATGGTGTAACAGGAAGACACGATCAATTGCACTTCAGCAAATGATAACTATCAAAGTAGCTAAAATCAAAGGAGGGACAATGCACAGTTAAAAATAGCAGAAAAAGCTCCCTTCAGTTTTGGACCAAAGAAATCTCAGCCACATCACATAAATGAACAATGGAACATTATTAACATTGGAGACAATATGTTTCAGCAAATTTATATCCTAAAAATGACTGCTAGCCACAATGAGATACTCTGGATAACTGAACCAGCATCATCCTCATCAGTGGATGATGAACTGGCCTCAACTCTTTCAATGCAGCCAATCTTATGCATCAATACACTATTTCCTGAAGGGCTACATAAGCCACCGGATATAAATGCTCAATTTAAAAATAATTTTTAGACATTAGTATTCCAAAGAAAAAGATCCAGCTGCATTCTAAAGTAATTCTGTCTTTCTAAGTCCGGGAACAGAAAAAACTAACTAAACCTCAAAGTTTGAGCCGTCTACGTGAGGAAAGATTTAAGGCTTCAGAACACGGTAACATTGTCCCATGTGTCCTTGCTTTTTACCTCAGCTGGGAATAAACAAATTAGTGAAGTAACAGGAGGAGGTAGAACATTTGACTCTGCCTTTGAGGATCAGAGCTGCTGTCCCACCTTTATCTGACCTCTGCCTTCATCACTGAATCACAAAATAGAAACATAGAGTAATTTAGGTTAGAAGAGGTCCCAGGAGGTTGTCTGTTCCCACTCCCCACCCACAGCAGGGCCAGCTTTGATGTTGGATCAGGTTGTTCAGGGCCTTGTCCAGTCAAGTTCTGAGTGTCCTCCCAGCACATCCAAGGGCATTTAAAAGCACACAGTAATGCCCAAAATTGAACTTTCCTAGCTCTGTGCCTTGTGGGGAGAGTGATGGCGTGAATAAGTTAATTACCACAGGGTTTTGTCATTGTTGGGGGTTTGGCTTTTTGTTGTTGTGTTTTTTGGTGTTTGGTTTTTTTTTTCATTTTCAGATTGTGGCATGAAATATAAAAAGCACCTCAGAGGTTCAGTCCTCTTCCTGGTTGATTAAAAAAATACCTCAAATTGCTTGTGCCTGGTTTTAGGTCCTGTCACATTACTGAGGATTGTCACTAGATCTAACTTCAGAATATCTTATCCCATCATGTGGGTATCCTGTTGAGTGGAGATGAGACCAACAGAACTAACTTTCCAAACACATCTTTGCCAAATTTTGACATGTAGCTTGACAGAAAATTTCAGTAGAGTTACACAGTGTAATGCATGTGTTAGAATTAATGGAGAACTGTGTGGACTAAGTTCTGAGAACACTATCAATCAGCATGACATCATGCTCCAACAGTCTATTTCTATGTGAGATGAAATACCAATTTCAGTTATTGGAGTGCCATGATAAAGAGGAAGCATAACTTACCTATTCATTTCTTCAAGGCAGTCTGTTGCAAAGTAGAAGCTCTTTATTTTGGGGTGGCATGCTTTGAAGGCACTATAGAATAAACACAAATAAAAATACCTTTTATTTCAGACAGTTTGTCTATGAATATGCAAGATTGACCTGCTCTATGATTCCTCGTCATGGTAGGGGCTTCATAGCCATTTTGAACCTGCAGTCTGAATCTTGCTGGATTAATTTATAGATGGGCTCCTACTGATCCAGTTACATCTACATTTGCAAACCTAATTCCTATTTTGTAAAAAGCCCTTGAATGACTTAGAAATATAAATCCTTTCAATAACCACTGATATTACGCATCTGAAAAATTCTTGGGTGAATTAAAAAATCTTATTGAGTATATTTAACTACATCTTAGGTGTAGTCCAAAAATCAACTAAAGGAATAAGAATTTAATCCCATCACCTCTTCTCATATATTTAGATGACTGTGCTTTGGTCCTACTCAGATACAGAGGGCTGCCAGCTTATTGTTATAACTGTCTTGTGTTTTTATTTCAACTTTGATTTTGAAGATATGCATGAATTTATCCACTTTTTTTTTAAGTTAATAAATGAGGCAGAGAAGGAATATAAAGATGAATAACCAGCCAGTAATTGTATTCGACTGGAGATGAAATTTAAAATACAGGACACTCAAATTCTTTTTCCTTAGCCATTAGCCTGTAAGATCTCTAGAGTAAACTTAAGTAAAGGAATGTTTCCTAAATTTGATGCAATGTATTTTAAATCCCCAATTACAATATTCATTCAATTTGAGTTTAACAGAAGCAGTATGGAAAGTTCTAGGGAATGTAAGTGGCAGGTTTGCTTTGTTTGGAAGCAGATAATAGTAAAGAAGTTTCTTAGAGAGTCTTAACTCTAATTCACTTCTAATTCCAGCAATTGCTATGCCAAGTTACTCTAAAACCACCCATACCCCAAGTAAATGAGTGCTTTATTAATTACTATGATTTATTGTAGTTTTCAGAGAGAAAAAACGAACGCTAAAGCTTCACTTGGCACACTGACTTCCTTATAGATACTATTAATAAAAATGTATACAGTGCCAGGCTTCCCTAAAAGATGTTTTAAAGACAAATGAGATAACAGCAGTTGTATTTATGTTGTTTCCTTTTTCATGAGATTAGATGTATATTAAGTTTACCTTTGCACAGAGGGTCATCATAAAACGTCTTAATTGCATAAAAGAAGAATTGAGAGATAGGTAAAGAATATTTCAGCATCTGGACATTGGTAATTGTTGCTGCAGATCCTCCTCTCCTTAGCTACTTGTGTTTTACAAACGAAAATAGTGCGTGCATGGGAAACCCCAAAGAGGGAGGAGACCTTCCTCATGCCCACTAGATGGCATACACTTGTTAATTATATCTGCTGAATCGTAAGATTTTAATGCAAGGGATTTTGATCATTAATTTTAAGTACATTTATGATTTGGTTTACCTCATTAGTGTAATATAATTTTAATGACAAAAATTCTTATCATCTTTAGTCTCCTGCTTCTTAATGCAGAACTATTTACTCCCCTTATGCCAGCTAACTACCCGCAACGCCAGCTGCTTTAGCAAAACTGGATATCCATCTGTGAATAAGAAATATGAAACAGTTTTCTATGTCTTTATAGACACGTGTATATATTAAAGTGATATGTTACACACTGGTAACTATAAAGTAATTAACAAACACTATACCTCCGTAAAGAACTTCCTAACAGAACCCTTAATACTAAAAATAGGAAGTAATTACTAAACAAATACTCCTGCACTGCTATACTATGGTGTGCTGTTTTGACGGGTGTATTTTTTGCATCAGCACGCAGTTTTCAGTTGGTATGAGCTCTGTGCAACATCTCCACCTTCTAGTGTTTCATTTGCCCAACTGTCTTCCATTTCTGAGATTAAAGAATTGGCTCAAATTGGAGAGGATTATGTGGTGGATCTAAAGATTCTAATCCTCTTGACTAATCCTGATAGAGTATCACATGATGGAGTTTCTGCTTGTAAATAGGATTATTTTCCTAGACAGGAAATTTATGTACATAAAAGCGTTAAATGCCACTATCAGGGATTCAAAGTCAACCTTTTGGAAGCTACAATATGCCAGAGCCTGTGCGATAAACAGAACTGAAATTTGGCTCCACTGTGCTCTTGTAATGTGATGCAATCTATGATTATGGATTTGAATTCTACACTCTCCCACGAGCCCTACTTCAGTTAGGGTGCAGAGAGTGGACTGGCTGGAGAGGTGAATCAGGATCATGCAACAGATAAGGCCACTTTCTGTCTTGGTTGGTACAGAATTTGTGAATGTGTCTTAAAATGCAGAATTTTTTCAAGGTATCAGTTGAATGCTGCAGGTCTTCTGCTTATGCAAAGGATTTCTTACATGCTAAGTCACAGCAAACAGACTTCATAATCGGTTATTAGATATTCCTTAATATCTTTGTGCCTGATATTCTGATAATTTACTGAACGGGTGAGCACTCATAGATGCAATAATGTATTTTATTGTTACACATTTACATACTCTGGAGAAAACAAGCCTTTATTGTTATGAAACGGAGATCTCAATTCTGTGGAAACTTTTTATTTAAATGTTTTGCAGTTCTGTTTCTGGGCTGCAAAACATAACAATAAAGCCATTTTCATCTCCCAGAAGTGTCACAAAGATTATTATTAGGGAAGCATTTAGATATGCTAGCATTAAGAACTGCAGAAAATTCTCCAGGGAAATCTAGAAGTATAGAGGAATATGAATAATGCAGAAGAACAATACCTACATTTTTACCTTTGCCTTTTTTTGGAGAGCCCAAAACTGGATACAGTAATCTAGATGTGGTGTTATGAGTACCAAGTATAAGGGTATAATCACTTCCTTTGTCTATTGCCTGCACTCCAGTTAACACAGGCTGGTAAGCTGTTAGCTGTCCTCCTGGGGGGGGCCCACTAAGTTTGGTTTACTGCCTACCAAGACTGTAAAGTTCATTTCAGAAGGAGTAATAAAAATTACTGAAGCTGTAGCAACCTTAGGACAACTTCATGTCTACCTATGCTATATCAATGACATTTATATAGAATTCAGACTGCACAGTTCCAATAAACAGCATGGTATGTGCTCTCATAAATTCAAGACCTGAATATGCATTAACTATGCAATGAAAATTCTGACCTGGTGAAGATTTTTGGAAGTTCAGGCAAAGCACTAGTTAACAATGAGCAATTATATATGTAATTTATTACGGGCCGTTGCAATTATGAGTATCTTTGAAAATACCATAATATTCAGGTCATTCCACATCACACAAACTTAAATAAGATTTCTAATACACTATAATGATTTTAAATCATGAAAATGCAGGTGTTGCCTTAAAGAGGTGGAAAGTTTTTCAGTGTCAATGCAAGAAACCTCCTCTCTCAGGGACAAGGTCATTCTACATCCAAATATAGCCTGGAGAGCTAAACCAGTCTGAGATAATGCCATGATTCATATAATAATCAGGGTACCTTCATTAAATGCATTAGAGAGGCACATCATCAAACCATACAGAATAATGCATTCAATTACTATACATTCTTGTGAAATCTTTCTTTAGGCTATTTCATTCAATGTATGCTATGGCCATCAGTAAGTCATTCTATAAAACAGCACTCTCCATCTGACAGGGTAGTGGAAAAGACAAATCTTGGCTATTGTAGTCAGACTTCAAACTCTTTTGTTCAATAAAGTTTGAACATTTCACACGGAGGGCTCTGAAAATAACAGAAATTTGAGGGGAAATCCAAGCTGAGTACCAAAATGTTCTTAGCTTTGATTTTGAGGGAGCTAAAAGAAAACTAATGCTGTGATTTTAGCTGGACTTCTTTTTGCACTAAAATACTATGTGTACTTTGGGGGATTTTATTTTGAAATTTTATTTTAAAAATAAATGAACCTACAGAAAAGGGAAAAAAAAAAGAAAGGAAAGAGCTAGGTTTCATTCCCCTGTTCTTATTAGCTGTCAAGGTAACTGCTTTACTAGCTTTTACATTAATGTTAAAATGGACTCAATCATACACAAGTGAGAGCACAACCACATTCATATTTTCAGTTTTCAAGCTTGCAATGAATTTATGTTACAGAAACTCCACCGTTCAATGAAAAATGATAATGCTAGTGAAAAAGATTTCCTAAAGTGGAAAGAAGTGAGAACTGATCTTGGAAAATCTGACTTTCACTAGCTTTCTGAAAAGGAGGCAAGAAAATCCTAAGTGGAACGTTTCCCTCTAGTCTAGCAGAGACAGTAATGAACTGAGTTAGAACTTTGCCAGCATATGCTGTGCCAACATGGGCCACCATCTCCTTAATTTTATTTGTCCCTATGCTTACCAGAACCATTAGCCTTTCAGTGGATTCAGGCAATGGCAATCATGCTTAGTCCTGCCTGGTATGATAACATAGAGGAGGATAGGTAAGTGCTTTGGAAGTGTGCTTAGAGAGGCTGTGGATTAGAGCTGGTTGCCATACAAGCAGGGGCCTCCATTCACATAAGCTAGATATACTAGAATGTGAGTGAACACTGGATTGGATTTACTTTCTCTGCAGTTTTCAGAAGAGCAAGTAAAACAGGGGCAAAAGTAGGGTGTAGTTTTTACAGTGGGTTAATACATAAATGAGAGTCCTTGAAGGAAGAAATCAAAGGGAAATTCAGCTCAGTGAACAAAGGGAATACTATTAATGTCTTTATTATACTTTTAGCCCTGGACGTACCTCTTTTTGAAAGGATTCGAAGCCTGAAGGTACTTTGTTTTCAATAGTGTGCAAAGTTTTAGTTAATCGGACTTTTTCTTGTGCACATACCCTACAGAAATAGTACTCTGAGAAGTGTTCTGAAGAAATGTGTTCTAATGCTTAGAGGAAATCTCTGGAAGCTATTTCTAGCTGTGCACAATGACCTTCTGTTTGATCTTTGTTAATTCATTGAAATTTGTGAAGTGTTTTATATTCTAACAAAAGAGTATTATTTTGGGGGTATTTTTTTCCAATATAATTATTAATATCTACTCATTCCTTAGAGGTATTTATAGTGCTTAGTTCATGTGTAATATCTATAGTGATACCCTCAGCTAAAAAGAATAATAGAAGTATAAATTGCACTGTCTTCTAATTCTCTGACAGACAGTAATAACTCAAGACAAGAAAAAGCAGTTGAAGAGGTCTGATCTGATGAGCAGTCTCAGTTGTAATTTATATGGTCAATATTTTCATTGTACACGTGTTCATAGCTGTAGGTCTTGTATTTCTCAGCCCAAAATTGTGTTTAGTCATTGGACAAGCACAACAGAAATTCAGGATGGTTAGTTATAAGTATGAAAGCTTTAGTTAGAGAGTATCTTCAATACTATTCTATGTAGCACCTCGTGGCAGCAAGTTTCAAAAATCCAGATGCAGCATATAGAACTCATGTGCAAATAATACAGGAGATACCAGCAAAGTGTTTGTCTCAAAGCACTGGGATTGTTCTGTTAAACCTGCTGTTTGACAGCTTTGCATTTTGCAATCCCAACACTGCTTGCAAACAATTTCCAATGAGTTCTGTTATTAAATATCCCTTAAGTATGGCAAAGCTTAGTGTATGCTTTTTACTGGAAGCATAATGCAGTAGTAGCAATAGGCACAAAGCAATAATACAATGCTCATTTTGCATCTGGAACCTAAATATTTTACCAGTTGAGAATAACACAATATTGGGTATGTAAGCTTCCTCCATAAAGGAGGAAATGAAGTTTATATTCACCATCCTTTGTTATGGCATTTTGTATGGTGTTTCATATGGGAATTGTTTCTTTCATGCTTGATTCTTATCAAGATGATCATTCTGAACCTAAGAAAATTTTATCTCTTGACTAACAAATTCATTGTCTTTTGCTTTATTTAACTGAAGTTGTAACTGGGCTATCTGGATAGCTGACCAAATAGTTATCCAACTCTTTGTAAGACAGTATATGGAATTTACATTAAGTTATATCTTTTATAATAAAGGCAAACAATACAGGTTAAGTGCATCTTTTATGTTTTAGGTACAGATTTAAAGGGTTTCTGTGAAACTGCCTTCTCTCACTTTGCCAATTTTCAGTACTATATATAGCATACTTCAAAGAGCGATCCTTTAATTTACAAACACAATTTACACATTACTTACTGTTTTCGTCTGCATTCAATTGCTCTATCTATCCTGAACTCAGGTAAACTAATGAATCCTTCTGCTTTTTCATCCTATCAAATGAGAAGAAAAAGCAGTTGTGAAGAACATGAAGAGAAAAGAGCAGTAGCCATTTGGGTCTTATGCTAAGAACAAACATCCAACCCATTGAAACACTGAACATTTCCCACATAATGTTTTTACTTAAAGAAATATATTAACTTAATCATACAGTGTCAATAACTTTTCTGAAGTAACTAAACTGACAATTATGTAAAGGAGCTGCAGTGATCCTAATTCCCCTTTGCTGAAGACTGCAGAAAACCTTTCAGTACCTAAAATAGCATTCAAGACATTGACAGCTACAGAGAATTCTCAGTTTCTTCATCACATAGTTTACATTTTAAAACTATTTTGTGGATGCTTCCTTTTAAAGTCACGATTATGCAGACCATCTGCCCTGCTAATAGTAATTGAGCAGGTTCCTACAGTGAGCTCACCAGTGATTATATCACCCACAGACCTGAAACAGCACTGGTTTGGTCTGACAAAAAACCACTAAAACTGAGGATAATTATGCTAGTAAAATTGTCCTCTTATGGAAAATGGAAAATACGGAGTAAAATATCAGTAATCAAAGCAGGCTGTGACACTGACAGATCCGATTTGGCACTGAGGCTCAATGCATACAAATGGAAGAGCAGCAGTCTGAGGAATTTTGGCTTCTCCCCACCATTATTTTTTTCCTACATATATGCAGATTGCACAAGCGTAGGCCCAGTGATTTTCAATAAAATTTCGCCAAGAACAGCGTTTTACACACGAGAAACTGCCAACTCCAGACTAATTCAGCAAAAAGCAGGAGGAACATCTATGTAAGAATAACTCTCAGGTAGAGATCTACAGATTCAGATGTTCACATCTGCTTACATAATACTCCACTAATGTGAATGGTTAAACTGTATACATCCCTACACACAACTGAAACTGAGGAGAGCTGAGTGTGAACACTGTTTTAGTCCAAATAAATGCTATCTGTGGAAAAGTGTCAGTGACTGACATATTCATTTCTTTAAGAATGACACGAACATCTGCTCTTTTATTAAGTTTGGACATGGACTCAGAGACCTGAAAATATAATTTCAATTAAAATATTTCCAGCTAGACCAACCCAGACCTGACAGTTAAAGTGGCAGTTTACTAAAATATCCTATCATGCAGTAAAAATAGACTTTATTCAAAAGAATTATAAAGCTTAAGGTTTCATTTTGGCTTTCTCCAAACACCGAGTATACTTACATTTTGGTTTGTGTACCAGTACAAGGCTGAATCCTTCAGAATAAACCAGTACTTTTTCCATTTCTGAGTGAAATAACCTTTGGCATCCTTTTTCTTCCATAGCCAGCCTTCACAATCTCCATGCCCCAAGTCTTTGCAGGAAATCCGTCTTCTGCTCCCACTCGTTAGAGAGCTCCCTGAGAAGGCAACAATAGTGTGAGACATCCCACTGAATGGAAGGGTGAAAGAACTATATAAACATGCTACTAATTTTTAATGAGGATTCAATTCAAAATCCTTGAAGCCAAATTCTCTCCAATTTCAGGGAGAGAAAATGGAATGAACTATTTCCAAATTTGACAATGCTCTGCGATTTTGGCTTCAGCATGAATACAAAATGAAAGGGCCTGGTTTACGTAACGCTTTATTTAATCACTAAAGGGTTCATTCCTCTTAAGGCTGCATTTTTATCTGATTAAGATGGGCTGCATCATTCCAAAGTAAAAATGTATTAATTTAGCCCTCAGTCTGAAACTTAGAGAATGTCATAATCTATATACAGATGTAGACACTACTTCTTCCATATATCTTCTGTTACTACTTTTAGGAATAGAAGGCTTGTCAAATTCTGGGCATTTTTAAACTCAATTTTTATAGTCGATATTTTTAGTCAATAAAAAAGAAAGATCATTCACTTTCATAAAAATGCACATGCTTACATGTCTTCTATCCTGAATTTAACTGAAGAACAGTATTTTATTTTTACTGCATTCTGTTTAAAAGCCCAGCACCAGGAAGTTGGATTTTTTGTCTGTTATTTCAATACATCCCAATTGAGCAGCTTAAAATTATGATCCTAAAGAACAGGTTTTTGTCATAATTATGGCATTGTTTTTCCTGAAAAAGACTCTCCAGGAGATTAAAATGTTAGACATTTCTCTGTGAAAAATCAAATTTATTTTTCTACAAGAATTGTATTTGTTGTACAGTGGAACAACTATGTTATCCTGTTGTGAAAGAGTAAAGAAATGTAGATAACATCAAAACGCCATCCTTTGTTCTGCAACATTCTACAGCCAAGTTCCTAACGTATTGTTTGTTTTAGAATAGCTGTGCTGTGTCCTGGTCAGGCTTAGAAGAATTAAAAATGTATAATACAATAAAAGGAAAATGTTCATAGAAAGGATGCTGAAGAAACAAATAGAATAAAAAGAGCACAGTGGCCATATGCTTTCATACAAATTTATTATGCTGTAACTAGTTTTCATATGGTCATTGCTTAAACAGTCTCAAATAGGCCATGAGTTGGTAAGAAACAGAGAAGAACTTAAGTGAGAAGAAGTTTTACCACCACATCTAGCAACACTGTACCTTGTAACACATTTATTTAGTGTTTTACTTTGGGGTTTACAATCACATTGAGAAATAACTTAATGAAGTTGAATTTTGGCATTTGATCCAGATCATTTCTTATGAGAAAGGAAGTCTCATTATCTAGTTTCAAAATGTTAACATAAGGAAGTTACCTTTTGACCATTTTCTGCTTTTTACCCTGAGGGAAGCGTAGTGGAATGACTGGAAGAAAAAAAACCAACAGATTGTGAAAACCCAATGCAGGTAACAGTAAGCTGTTCATGAAAAGGCTGGTGTTCACTCCCATCTCCATGGTTATCTTAGGATCCGTTAACATAGAATCAGTTATCATAGATCTCATTTCTGTCATTTGTCTCTTGCTGCCATTATAAACATCATAAAGAAAACACAGTTCTATGCCTGCAAATTGAAATCCCATTTTTTCCCCAGTTATTAATTACAATTTAAATGAAATCATCAAGGATTCATTGCATGAATGGTTATGCAGTAGTTTGAAAACTAAGGATATAAACTCATGTGAATGACCTAATAAAATGAATGATACCTGAAGTTTGTGGTAAGTATACATGAGATAGTTATACTCATTTAGAAAGAAACATCCGTCACAAACATCACATAGTTGATGTGTAAAGCCATGTGCTCAATGACATGTTGAAGTCCCATTCTTTAATTGTTTCCAACTACAGAAAACAAGTGAGTTTTTTAGGTTGGTGGGTTGACAGAATAACTCTGAGAAGAAAAAAATAAATTCTTACTTTTGTGGCTGCATCATAAAAGCATTCTGGAGTCTTAAGAAAAACCTAAAAGCATCTCATTACTTAAAACTTTAAAAAACAGGGATACTACTCAAAAGATGGTAAAGATTTACCTCCAACATGTAAATGCTAGGGGAAAACTTACAAGTCAACATAATGAAGTAGCTGCCTGATAGGTAACTTATGCTGCCATTACTGGTAGAAAAACCAGTGACATTCACAGCCTGATAAACCAGCAGATCCAGGCCAAAAATAGCATAGAAAGGGCCATTTTTTAATTTTTCTTGACTTTTCCTTTGTGACAGATAACATTCAGCTCCACAGAGGGCCTAGAAGAAGGGCGCCACAGCCCCTGAGGGGTATCTCCGTGCTGCCTTAACTTGTGATATGACTACAGATAATTCCCTTCTCCCAGGCTGCTTACCTGACCTTAGAGCAGGTCCTCACCATGTGGTCAAAAAGCAAACACGTGCTATAAAAGTCCTTATTAACTGTGCTGCAGCATACTAATTGTTTAAATGTCACAATATGAAAATTTAAAATAACTGAGGATTAGAATTAAAGTTAAAAATTATTTAAATTAATATTGAGAATAATGAAGGATCCCATCTTAGGCACTACAGAAAAGCAACAGCTGCAAAGAGGTCACCAAATATTGGAGTTTTATTTCAAATAGAAATGGAGGAGGGGGGAGTTGTTTTGCACAGGCAGGGACCTGTTTGCAACCCTTAGCAATTCAGCCACTTTATAGTGTCGAATGGCATGAACGTTTTGTAGTACTTTGAAGAAATCAGCAATTCCTGACTCCTGAGGGAGCTGGCTGAGAGAACACAGGTGTTCTGTGCTCTGTCTCAGGCTGTTCTCCCAGTCAGTCACAGTATATGAATGCTTCACAAATATACTGCAATTCTGACAGGTGACAAGCTCTGTAAGTGCATGTACGTTTTATCACTGTAACACAGCATGTATTCTCCATTTAAGCTGATAACTGCAAATCCATCCCTTTGTTTTGAGCACTAGAGAAGACGAAGATTAATGCTTGCTCCTATGCTATAGGAAAAGTAGTAAAAAACCAGAAAATGAAAAAAACACAAGTAAGTCTGTGACAAAGTATCAAAGCTGCACAGCAACACTGGGGCCTTTATTCATGTCTTGCAAGCCAAGGCAGCAGTATTGGTCAGTCAAACCGTGCCAACTGGAGTTCTGTGGTGACTGTGACTGAAACAATCTGTTCGATATTCCTCTTTCTGCATAAAAACGCAGTAGGACAGGGCAAGTCTCTATTTCTGAAAAAGAGATCACCAAATTTCTTCACAATTTAGGCTAAAACAAAGTATGGTGATGGAATAAAAGCCTGTAATTAAATTACGGTTTTCATATGTGGTTAAAGAACTTCAAGAAAAATGGAGCAGCTGGAGGATACACACATCATGATCCTCAGCAGAAACTGGTGTGCACCGTTCCGTATAAAAGTTTTGAAGTAATGAAATACAGACACAACAAATCAAGGAGAGCTTAAAATATTAACTCTTCTAAAAACATAAGTTAATTGGCCTTACTGTGTTTTGTTTATGCACACATACAACGTATTCACAGCAAGAAAACTGGAGAAAGTGAATGGTTTGCAATACCTTGAGAAACAGTACTCAGCACCGCTAGCTTACAAAATTCAAGCTTCATATTTTGAGATAAAGGCACTACTATATAATTAACTTTGTGGTAAATACTGTAGGAAAACATAACTTGCAACTCTAAAATGACTCAGAGTTGCTATGGGAGACAGATGATGTGAGAACACGATATGGTTGTCAGCATTTAAATTCTCATCTCAAAACCACAACGCAAAGTAGAATGTTAAACAAAAAGCACACCCTCCCACCACAACTCAGATAGCAGCACACCGGGGGGGGGGGGGGGGAAAGAGGCAGAATTGAATCTGTGCTACATGAAGCTAAATTAATGAGGCCTCAACATAATCACAGTGTAGTAGGAGCAGTGCTGTCACAGCATCACCAAATGAAAAGTTCTGCTATGTTTAAAAAATGCCCTGGAGACTAGAGATGCAGTTACCTGTCAGGATGAAGGGAACCAAGCCTATTATATTAATGCAAGACTGGTTGCACGCACCTCTCCTATTTTGAGTCTAAAGAGGTTTTAGGGAAAACTATTCGGAAGTTCCAAACAGCCATCAGTGCATTCACTAGCAAAGTACACAAAGAATGGGGCACCTATCTGCAGTACCAGCATCCCTGGGAACAGCCACCACTCTGTGTTCACCAGCAGCAGGCGAGGGAAGGATTGGCAGGTAGGGGCAGCATGTCCATAAACACAAATGCAGGTTCTCAACAAACCACAGATGTATTCATACATCTCTTGCTACTGTCACTGGTCTTTAGCCTCACTTTGTAAAGGCAGAATTACATCGGTCAACTTTGAAAAGTTTTTTATCACCTACTTAGTGAAAACAGTGCTCAGTTAGAAGGAAGAAATATATGCACACTGACCTGCTGTGGTTGCACTGAGCGTGGAAATTATACCTAGCTTTTTATTTTCAGCTGTTTCATAATACAGAGAGACATCAAGGTTTGTGATATCTTCTGTGGCTTTGAAAAATATGACAATTAATTGAATTTTTTGAGTTTTTTTTTTTAAAGTGCATTTCTGAATCATTACCTTCCTCATGGATGTGCTTCCTTGATGGTCAATGGCAGAACTTGCATATCTAGGACAGGAAAGAAGAAAGATGTCAAATAACTACAGGGAAAAAATAATCTGAGTGAGTAGTGCACCTAGACACAAACTCTGCTTTTCCAAGTCATTCCAAGTATGCTTACAGGTGTGATCATGTATCAAAACTATTTAAAATACAGCGCTTTGAATGGGAGGCCCTTTGGAAACGTAACCCTTGTTTCCAATGAACAGTGCTAATGTCATTAATAAACACAAAGCCATTCTTCATATTCTGATTTAAGAGCACATAATTATTCTGGGAATATTTAGTTCTGGTTCAACCACTGGCCTAAAACTACTCAACCCTGATCAGCTAGGATTCTGAAGCAACCAACGCAATTCCTCCCTCCTAAGGACTACAGTTTTAGGATACATTAATCATTCTTTGTTGCAGGGATAACTCTCATTTGTGCATTTCTTGCAGCATCAACAGCATTTAACACAGGTACAGTGGATTCCTAGTGCCCAATCTAAAGTGGTAAAGATGAAGTATTTTTAAGCAGGAGAAAGGTAGACATATGCGTAATTCAGCAATTCTGTTTTAAGAGTAATTTGCGTTTTGAAAATGGAACAGCTTATGGATTTGTATTTGAACTGATAATTCTGACCTTCAGGAAAGACTCATAATGTTCCTTATTTTGCAAAGGTGCAAAATGTCATCCCCAGGACATTACAGACTCAAACCAAGGATAACTCAAACTGTGTAGTACGTGTCTTCCTTTGTGTTACTTTTTGGGTGTCTTTAGCAATGTATACAGGATGCCATGGATATAAAAAATTATGTAGCCTTTAAAATGCAAAAATATGATCGATGGAGTATCCAAGCTTTCTCCTGGAGGTCTTCAAAGGCTAGAGTACAAAGCAGGAAAGCATCACCAGATGCTTTCCTTATAAAATTACAAACAGTATCGGACATTGATGGAAACAGGACACTGAATCAGGGTCAACTTTGTCTGATCTAGCAGAGACACAATTCCCAGGGTTTAGATAAAATTTCATGTTTTCAGAAGTTAGAGAAAGGAGAAATGGGAAAACCCTAAAAAATGTGACTGTTTTTGTGTATGTCATACAAACAGAAAAGGAGTACTAGAATGGGAAAGGATTTGAAGGGGAAAATGGAGAAATTAAAAAAAGTAATCAAAGGATTGTGACATTTTTAACATATTCTCAAATTCTGTTGGTCATGTTACTATCTATCTTCAGTCAGCAAGATAAGAAGGGGCATTTTCTCATTAGATGATTTCCATTGTTAAGAGAAATCAAATTTACCAGTAGAAGCAACTGCTTCATTGTCAGTTAACAACATCTCTCAGTCCTGAATCAAAGAAAATTTCCAGACAGCAGTGAAAAGATGGGATGCATAACATTAAAATTAAAACCATCAAAGTTAATAGGCAAGACTCAGAAACTCTGAGCAGTCTGTAGACTACAAGGGTTGAAAGAAACACCTGAAAATCAGAAAAGTTCAGCTTACAACAGTTAGTAAAGGAATGGACATACGCCTAAACCGCTGCAAGGCAGATTTTGTCATTACTACTCCATTTCTGTCTGCCCATGAGAATGCCATAAATGCACTTCAGCCCTGCTGGGCATTTCCCCCCTTGTTTCTGGTCTGTTTCTTTAATCCTGGCTTTGACCCATCTGGAAAGTGTCAGTTCCAATGCTCCCATTCTTTCTCTCAGCCAATATACAATATGAATAATACATCTGTGTTTTTAGGTAAAAAGTCCTTAGTCAAGTTTTATTTGCTTCCATGCAAACACAATAATGTGTCTCCTTACAGTAATCACAGACTTTCACCGGCGACTATGTTGTAAAGTTACAGCAGCAGTCTGCAACTGAACTTTTGAAAGCTCTACAAAAGTTGGCGTGTTATGAAAGGTCAGAAATGGGTGTTCTAATGTACCATGAGCTTACTTTTCTTATTTGGGCATAGTTTCCAACAGTCTGCAAGAGGTGTTCTTGGTTTTGTGTTTGGTTTTCCTTTTTTTTTAAAGATTTTATGTGTATCAAATGGTTTTCCTTTTTTTAAAGATTTTATGTGTATCAAATACTCCTCCCCAAGTCTGATTAGTCCTCAAATATTCAAATCTACAGGTCACAGAAAAAGAAATACTGATCTTCTCTTTAGGCAAGTAAATGATCTGTGTGAAAGTGGCAGACCCAATTATTTCAGACAGGAGGGAACCCTGGAATGTTGTCTATTCTGGTTGAAATACTCTGCATCATAATTACTCTTCACCTTTATTTTTAGGAAAAGAGTTGTTACAGAAGTAAAAGGGAAAAAAAGCGGGAGGGGGTTGGGGTAGTACATGCAGAGTATGGTTGTAATGGCCTGGACTGATACATCTCAAATCAGTTAAAACAGTTGATGATCTCTAGGCACTTGTTTTCTTGCTCTTGTGTAATACTGGTTTTGAAACTGGCAGAATCTAGAGAAAGGAGGAGCCATCGCTTATGAATAACTTATACCAATTAAACCCCCCCCAAACCGAACAGTAACAAACCAAACAATTATTTCAGGGTGTTTGCAGAAACAGTCAATGCAGAGTATGACATAAAAAGGGAAAATACTAAGCAGCAACTTTAAAAGGAATTTGATTTTGTAATAAAGCTTATTCTAAAATACTTATTCTATGATACAATTTTCCTCAAATGGATTTCTGAGGTATTCCTGTTTGACAGAAATGTAAAGGACTTGAGCAATGTCTATTGTAAGTGGTGATAATGCTCTGTCTAGTTGTGTGGCATATACTGGAATTTCTATGGATAAAAAGGTTGCCTCCCTCTTATTCAGTCTTCAGAACTCTGATTAAATTATGTTTGTAAGCAAACAAAAATAAATATAAAAAGGGAAGAAGAATTAGAGAAATGCAGGTACTAAGAAGCAAACACAGACCAAGGTTAAATACAGTCTAAATCTGGTGTCAGTATGGACTCAGTATTCAGGCTGAACGATGCTTCTGAACATATAAGTAGAAGGTTAACAAGATTGAGCTAAAAAAAGGATGGGAATTTGACCTAAGTGGAAACAAAACACTGAGAATGTAAAGGACTTGAGTAGGTGTGGTAAATTCCAAATCCCATCTTAAAGCACATGCAAATGAAGTGCAAGTGTACTGATAAGATTTGTAATCAGGGTTTCAAATGAGGAGCAGTGTTGCATGATTAGAAAACAGTAATAACAAATCTCTGAAAAACAAACTAGAATGGAAAAACCTAGAAATATGGGAGTAGCAGGAGTACTATATACCAGTTTAATGTGTTTGATAGAAGCTGGAGGAATCAGAATGCAAAAACATACTCAGTAAAAGATTTCACATGAATGGTGGGAATTGTCACCTACCAAAGACTGCATATGTGAAATTAACAGCATAGCTGCACACATTTCCGCACATTTGCTTTCAGAGCAGTTATATCTATTTAAGAGCAGCACCAGAATGCTGAGTAACCTGACTTTCTGTTCATACAAAACCTCTTTTGATAATGAACAGAAGTGACTTGCTACTGCTTCACGAAACAAGTCATCACTAAGCAAGTGCAACTGTGAATACCACCTCTATGTTGACACCCATTCCTCTTTTCCTTTTGAGGAATGTGTTTTCAGTTTCTGCCATAAAAAGATAACAAGACATCTTTAATTATCCCATAAACTCTAGTAAGGGATAGTGTCTTAGCTTGTAAAATATATAGAATATCTACCGAAAACAAGGACTGATTTCAACCAGCTGCATACAAATTAAGCATCCCTTGATCACATAAGCAATGCTCATAAAGAAAATTAAATAGAATGTCTCTTACAAATAGCAGTGCTCTTAATTATAACTTCCCAATTCTCTTTCTATTACCTATAGGATCACTGAATCCATCACTGAATGGAAGTTCTAACTGTCTCAGAATAAACTGATGTATCTTATTACATTGCTGTTGGTTTGGCCTCTCCACAGGTGACAGGATACAGATAATAAATCCCAATGAATGAATACAGTCTAGAAACAACAATAATTCTTTCGAGTGTTACTTACCTTTTACCTCATCTTTTGAATCTGTAATAGTTACAGTCAATATATTCTGGCAGTAATGGATAGGATTATAAACTAGAAGTAATATAAAGTGATTCTAGTTAAAACAAACTGCAAATATATATTTACCATTGATTAAACAATTTTGGATGTAATAATTTCTTTGATTTGCATTTATTTGACCAAACAAAGCAATCCAGACTTATTTTTTGACTATTCCGATTTGTTGGTTTTTGTGGTTTGTTTTTTTTTTTTTAAATCTAGGAAAGTTTCCAGTAGGTAAAAAGAGAACACTTTTAGCCAGAATTTCCTCCTGGAACAGATGTACCTGGGTATAAATTACTGGTAGTGCATTTCACGTTCTGTCATACTACAGCACGCTCTGAGCGTTCTGGCTGGAGACTTATGTGATCGTCCAAGTTGCTGCACAGGCCATAAACAGACTGTTGTGAGAGTTTTTCTTGCTAGTCCTCTGTAGGATGGCTCCTGTTTCGTAAGGTTACATAAATGTAAGAGCTTAGGGACACAGCACAGATGATCAAGAGATGATTTCAAAGCTGCTGGTTAAACACTATGGACAGCAGTGATGCCTGTGCTTGAAAGCACACTGTTAATCCCTGCTGCCACCTGCATTTCTTACAAGCATACAGTGATTCAAAACACAGAGAGCCTGAGGGACAACTCTACTGCTCCACAGCAGCTATAAACCATTACACAATGGCACCTATAATCCTGCCTTTTTTATGTGGCAGACGCTTGGGAGATGTAAATTTATAGGTGAAAGGGGCATGCAAAGCTCTCTTTGGCCTTCGTGTCTCACATTCTGAACTACTTCAAGTGCTATTTGGTTGCAGTTCGGGGTCAGGGGCACCATAATTAACTTGAGAAAAAAGCCCTAAATTCAGCATATTAGGAAACACGTTTGTGAACAAAGGTATTGTAGATACAACGTGAAATTTCCTCACAGCTGGTTCACAAGAGCACATATGTAGCAATTTCCACTTACCTACCTGGTCACAGGACTTCATTTTAACCACCTTGCCTGGATTCATGATTTATATTGAGGTTATTAAAGCCTCCACATCTTATGTAACCTGTCCCTGACACAACAAGTCAATTCTCACTGCAAATTATTTATTGAGTATTTTGTAGTGAGATTTGAAATCCCTTCTCAGTTCCATGCTGGCTGAGCTACTGGCTCTGAACTATGCTACAGGCTATGACTTGCTTGATACTTCAAGTAACAGCCAGCTATCTCAGATGTATCTGTACTGTTACGCAGTCACTGCACTATCAGGGTATCTACATGCAAAGCTGACAGAACAATGTCAAGACTGAAAGTCATTTTCAAAGTATTTATCTCCTCTGACCTCTCCAGCACTAACCACGATAAAATAATTTCCGAAGCATGCTACTGTGGACATGACTAGAACACCTTTTAAGCGTTCATATTTACAAAGGCAAAATGTGTTATGAAAATAAAGCCTGAGCAGCATTTTCACATGGAAACTCAGTGCAAATGTTCATAAAACCTGTATATTCAACTAGCAGTGATGCAATGCATGAATGATACAATTCCTTTCTGCCTTCTCTTCCCCTTGCAGGCCTGCGTGGTTGGCTGAGCAGAGTAAACTCTTCAAACCCAAGATGCCTTTAATGATGGTTACATTACACACACGTGTCTAGAATCTAAATGTCAAAGTTTGCTATTACTAGAAGGAAAATTCTCCTAAAGTAAAATGAAGTTCAAAGAACACAGAGAACTGCGCTACGCATACAGTCAATGTCTGTCTGCAAAAAAAGCTGCAGCAGCGACTATGTGATAGGTGCCCATTACCCCTTTCTTCTCTGTAAAACAATTATAAACAGGGTAAACTGCTTCTGGTAAAAGGAAAACAAATGGGCTGCTTCTTCAGGAAGCATTTAAGTTAGCTTGCCTTCCTGAAACCTCAGAGCAATCACACGTTAGTGATTCCACCTCCAATCGCAGAGTGTAATTTCCTAACTCATGACACCTGCTCAGAAGTGAAGTCACAACTTCCCTGTGGCTGCCCTACTTTTCTAGCCACGAAACTCCTCAGGAGCATAGCTCACATTTTTCTACATTATCTGTCAGAGAGGGGCAGAGTTTAATGTGTAAATGGACAGTCTCTTATAATGAGGGGTGCGGGTGTTCTGTGTGGGTGGTGAAAGTCCAGCCCTGTGCATAGTGCTGGGCCAAATCTGTGTTGTAGATGTGCCAAAATAGTTTGGAGGAAACCAGAGTTATGATGCAGGTTTTGTTCTGCAGAAGCTAGACTTGCTTTACATTCTACTTATGCAATGAGTTTAAAAAGTGAGATATTCATAGTAACATTCTGTAGTTCTGTATCTCTCACATAGCTGCTAGTGGTTTTGGTGTGTATTCCCTGCAGCCTGTGGTACAGTCTGCTACGTACAAGAAACATCTTTCTTCTGGCTTTTGGCTTTCCTTTCTTTTCATAAACAAAGGATGCAGTCATATCATGGAAACTCAGTAGGCAACTGCACAGTTAATTAAGATAATGCTATTTCATCCAAATAATGTGACTCAATCCACATAGTTTGTCTCCCGCTCCCCAAAACCTAACTGCATGTGATAAATATCTGAAGGGGTTTTATTTTGGTTTAAGCTGTTTAAACTACTTAGAAGAAGGTTATTAGGAACAAGAAGCTGTAATTCTGCCTCTTTTAAAATATTTTTCAACATGTTGAAAAGGTTGTGGACCTGAATTTTAGAATGACTGGGAGTAGGATTAGGAAAGAGACAGTCATTCTATGGAAGAATATTGAAGAATAGCCCTTTGCTATGAAAGTTCGCCAAAATTTCATCAAGTCGTATGTCCCTGGAATATATCTCTCAGCAGATGTCCAGTAGAGACTTGTGTCCTGTCCACAAAGCATGTTCCATCTGGGTTGCAATGTCCCTGCCAAACTGAGCATGTGCAATCCACTCGGAATAATTAGGCATTCTTTGTTCTGTGAAGAGCAAAATTCATTTGCTCCTTCTGGTTGCAAGAAACTATGGGTGGCGAAGAAGGAAGACAAAAATGGGGTGAGGCTTTTTTAGGAGTGGTATGTGATTTCTTTCTGTTGCAGAAAGTGAGGTAGGAAGGACCTGAGGGAAGGAGCAGCCATCCTGGAATGAGGAAGGGTGAGAAAAGGGAGTGACAAAAAGTAGGGAGAAACAAGTGTGAGGGAAGAACAGGACAAGAGCACAAGGCATGAAGGAGTTGGGAGATTAAGTGAAAAGAGCAAATGCAGAAGATTCACAGAAAACAGCAAGTTCTGAAAACTCCATCATGAGCAGTAAGGGCAAAAGGCGAAATCCAACAGTTACTTAAAAAGAGACTGACAATGACACACTTTTTCCCCATGTAACCCCTGCCTTACACAAGATACAGGCTGCTTTGGTTCTGAATTGTAACTAAGTGGGACTATATTAATTTATTGTAAAAATAAAAACCTACATTTAGCTGAGGTGATGGATGACAAGGTAATGAACTACTACAATGGTGACAATGGAGAGACAAGCCTGTCTTGTATAAGATGAAGTAGAATTTTAACCTAGAAAAAGTCTTTCAAACTCTACCTTTACCTCACTATCACCTATGATAACAGTGCTGTTCAATTTAGTTGAATGCTGTTTTAAATGCTCACAGTACCCTACAACTGGTAAGCATTAGTAAATTCTTTTACTGATTACTGTAATTACCATTACAACTGTCTCTGAAACGAGCTACGATGTTTAATACACATATACAGAGGCAAAAATGCTGACTTTCCTGAAAGATCAGGCAGGAGGTGACTTGTATTTATGATCAGCAGCTAGTATCATTGTGCCTCAGACTTCCAGCTGTAATGTAGTGGTACTTATATCATTGAAGAACATCATTGTGAATTGTAAATCCTTTAGATTGGTGAAAGCACTCTAAATTAATTACTGATTTTACATTCAGTGCATGGTTTAACTTCTTAAATAGGTTTAGGCCATATAGGGGATGAAAAAATATTAAAAAGAATAACTATGAACTAGATGAACAGATTCCAATTAGACTTAATTATGACGTACTATGATACCCAAGTATTTGCTATTTTAAAGTTGTTCTTTTAATATGACTTACTGCACGCAACTAGAGTACGAACATACTTCATCAGATAAACTGCAAAGGAAAGAGAGACAAACCCACTGTTGTAGTATATTTTTTTCCTCCTCCTAATCTTTGATAGACTTACATCTAAAATAGATTTTTAACTTTTGGAACCTATATTTATATTTGATGTCAGTAAATGAAAACGAGGACATTTACTAAATTATATTAATGCCAATATCACTAAATCCTGACAGTTTATTTCTCAAATATTGCAACTTAATATCTGGGAGTAAAGAAGTGGATGTAATTTATAGGTACATTATGTAGGTATTTAAATATAGAGTAACAGAAGTAATTACCTTTCAGTATCTCCGCTGATTGTGTCTCCTGCTCTCTGTAGAAGAAAAACAAATAGCATTAAGCACGACTAAAGACTATGTATACTTCCTTGGTGCACTCAACATAGTGGTATCTGCAGCAAGAGAAGTCACAGAAGTAAACCACAGTAGTCATTCTGTGACTTCAAGGAAAAGGAAATGGAAAATTTAGTTCAATTTCTAACTAAATGTTCTTTCAGAGTGAATATCAAGCTTAAAGCAATTTGCATCTGCACTTATAGCTTCAGCTGCTGCATAATTGTGATCAAAGCTCATTAAAATAAGAAAGCTAAAGATTTGTCATAATGTCAGTGTTTGCAAAAATATTCGTATTTAAAAGGGAGTTTAAATGTAAAGGTCAAATATTAGAATGTAGTATACAGAATTTCAGAAGAACAAACTGTCACCAAAACTTTCTTTAATACTGTTCTCTCCTAGCTTTATATAACTTGATTTACTACACTGGCTATTCCTCTGAGGTTTGGAAATGAACTTGTCTTGCAGTAGTAAGTGATTCAAGAATGGTTCAGCTGTAACACAAATTAAAAAATAAAATCTTCTGACTGTTTTTGTTACTTTAAACCAAGCTTTATGATGGAGGTTTCCCACAGCTTGAAATTTCAACAAAGTATGCTTTAAAATGAATGTGTATTTGTTTGTAAATGTAGAAATCTGTACTTGAAAAATCTTTGACTATATGCTTTCTGACCAACCAAGCATGAAACAGATTATTTTTTGTAGGTATAATATTTGTGTTTTAATATCACCCCTTTACGCATAGAGTAAGGTACTTAATCCCATGTGACTTCAGGGAACAGCTACAAAACTGAAATTCATTTAAAAGACAGGAAGTCTGCTGGGTCTGTGTAACCACATGGGCTGTAACACAGATATATTCTAACAGCAGGCTTTTCTAAGAAGACTTTAAAATCTTCAGGGCACAAGTATGTGTTTTGCCACTCCCCACCTTCCCCCTTTGGTGTATCTGTATACAGAATCATTTCTCATCTTTTACCTTGCTATTTCTACTATAGGTAATAGGTTCACCACTTGAAGAAGGCAAAAACACCTTAAGTGATCAAGTTATCCTGGTATATAATATATATATGTATATTATATAAACTAATAGGTTTGCAATGGACTGATGGTACCATAGTAATATGAAAATACATCAAGAGTCCTTTTTGTCACCTGCTTGCATCTAATAAGAGAGTTATCTAAGCTAAGATCCAACAGACATCTTCCCCACAGCATGACCATGTAGATCTACATGACTCTTTTTCTTTTCTCTTAAGCGTTCCTGTTATCCAAAGCATTCGTCAGATCCAAATGAGAATCAGCCTCCTACGGGAACATCGTGAACAGACAGTAGGATTATTAATGGCAGAGATTTATTTCCAAACTATCAAGCATATGAAGTTACTGACAGCCTATATAAAGTCAAAAGTGGATCACTAAATCAGTACATGTTTCATAATGATTACAGGGCTAAAACTTAAAGAATGGCAAGCACTCCTCTGAGTGCCATTCTTTGACAGGTTTGTGTTTTAACTGCCACAGCTAACCCACACTCAAGGCAGAGAATATATCACGGCAAAAGTGTTTTCAATACAATAAAAATGACGCGCAATTGAACGTTTTCACTTACGTAGCCTTTCCTGTCTCTTACCTTCTCCAATATTAGGATGCTACAAATTTTACAAGTAACTTTTGATTTTCGTTTGTTGCTACATTAACTACTAGCCTTTTACTTCTGGTATTCTGCAAATATTCTAGCAAATACAAGTATCAAAGATGGTTACATTCAAATAAGAGAAATTAGCTATAATTAATAGTGTGTAACTTGTGTAACTGCACAGATAGAACACTGACAATTACTTGCATGTGGTAGATTCCTATCTACAATTTCAGCAACCTTATATTTCAGCAGTTGCTTTGTTCCCAAACTAGAATTTTACTTCATCTTACTAAGAGGCCACTTTCATGACTAGTAGACATGTGGGAGACTCAGGAGGCACAAGTCTTGTCGTGCTGTCACAGACTATAAATTCACAAAGTCTGTGAAATTCAGGTCACAGAATTCAGCATTCTTTAGTGAGCTGCACATTTATGTAGCTCTAGGGGTTTTAGTGGATCTACTTCTCACTTGCACAAGTAGCAATGAAAGGACAATAAGGCCTGTGAAGTCTAACGGGGAGATCTGATGGTCCTCTCCCAAAGCAAATCCTGTAGAAACTCCTATTTGCCTGAAATTTCTACAAATAACTGACAACAAAAAACCTGTTTCCTAGAATCAAGATTTCATAATGCAAATAAATATTTCCTCTTAAAAAGTAAAGAAAACACATAAATCAGAAAACAAAAGAACCCTGAATTGCAGAGGTAGTGTGAAAACATTCAAAAGTTGTTCTTGTAGTTTACTAGTGGAAATGACTAGAATAGCTGGGAATGAGACTAAAATAATCTGACAGTGAGTGTTACTAATCTCAGTGGTCAAATGTAATGTATTCAATACCACCTAGATATGTAATTTATTCAGATGGGAAAAAGATTTTCACCATTCTGATGAATACTGTCCTTCTTTTATGCTCAGATACTGAATTCCATGCAAAAAATGATTTCTTCTCCTGCTTCCTTAACTCACATACTCATTATCCTGAGCATCACTTTTACATTATGTTTGTTTCAAAATCAAAGAGTAGCCTTGTTGCCGGGGGCTTTACTGATCTCTCCAGCTCAGTGAGCTGATGCTTAACCTATTGAATACACTTGTGAAATGATTATGCTCAGCTAAAAATGAAAGCAGCATTTGAGGTTTTTCTTCCACTTGCTCTCTTTGAGAGGTGAGATAATAGAGACAGGAAATAATCTCATGCAATCTGTATCTATGCACATTTCAGAGGTACTAAATTTTTAGGCTGAAAAAAACCACAAAATGACAGATGAGAAAGTTAACCGAAGACAGAAGAAAATATCTACTCAGAATGTTTAATTATGTGGTGCACTATGAACATTATATCAGCACACAATAGGTAGCAGGTTAAGCAACAATTTTTTTAACTAATCAAAATTCCGTTTTTGGAAAACTGTTACATCCCCAAGAGAAGCTATCCCAGATTATATTTGATGTTAAAAAAGTATTCTGAAAGAATGAATAAAGGAAGAGTGTCTTGTGGCTAACAAAATTTATCTTATGTGTTAAAGTGAAAAATAGTCCAAAAGGACAAATCACAACAATGGATAAACCGTGTTCTGTGTTGACCAAAGCCTACCTTTGTCCTCATCAATCCACTCTTTTAATTTAAGGGAAACAAAAGATAAATTTTTATCTGAACAGCAAAGGTACAAAAAAAATAATGAGAACAAAATATCAACACACCATCAAAAAAACCCCAAACCCAGGACAAAAGTTCTTCAAAAACTAAGAATAAATCCTGCATTCTTAAAAAATGGGTGAGGTTTTCTTGGTCAAAGAAAATCAGTGTATTCACTTTTAAATATATTTGTGTTCTCTCAAACTCTTCTGTTTTTCTGGAGCAGACACCAGATATGATTTTGTTGAAATAAACCAACTATAACTATGGTATTTTAAGGAATGAGCAATCATTCCATGTTGCATACAAGGAATCTTCATCTTATACATGATGTAGAGGGACTAAAGTGGACATTCACTTGGATTATCCACTAAAGTTTAGAGAATTTTATTTTATCACAGAAAAATTTCAAGGTAGAATATAGTGCCATTTAATAAAAAGCATGGTGAAGTTTCACAGATTTCAAATTAAAAACATAATGCAGTTCTTCCTGGTACAGCTGGAAATGCAATCACATGAAATTATGCCGGTAGAGATGGAATGTATTTCTATCTGCAACTTTCCACTGTCACAAAGCACAAACATTTTCTTGCTGAGAAGATAAGATCATCTGACATGCAGCTCAGTATTCAGCAGTGATTTTGCTGCACAAGACTCCACAGGAAAGGAAAGGAAAGGGAAGTGGAAAAAGGGGAATGGCCTTGAAGTTGAAAGGATGTAGTGTAGCTCAAGAAGTTACACAGGCCAGGGAATAAGACAGTCAATTCTTTCCCCTTCCTTTTTCTCACTTTCTCCGTTCCTCTAGGGACAGGCTGCCTGTGACCTGTCCTATTCAGGACTGGCCTCATGCAATGCTTTCCTTCATCCTCCAAAGCCCCATCCTCATTCTCTTGGTGAGGAACATAGGAAGCCTGCTGAGAAGAGGTAAATGGCAGGAACCAATGCTTGAACTAGTGAGGGAGAAAAACTCGGAGGAGAGTCTTCAAAGTACAACAGCTGGCTTCCCATGTACTGATCATTTTGTCAGCAACAGTGGGAGATGATATTTGTGTTATGAGTTTGCATATTATCATTCCTCTGGATTATATATGTTGAGATTATGGGAGTAATAGTATCAGTTATGGCTAATATTTATGAACGAATGCTCAAACCTCAGCTGAGCTTCACAAATGCTCTACAGAGATAGGTGCACACATGATGCTTGGTTGCAAGACAGTATATTATTTCAGGAGTAAGCTCAACCATTTTACTAAATTGCTTCTTTATCCAAAAAGGTCTACCTGAAACAAAGCTGGTTTGTGTTGTGCAGATCCATGACCTAAATTTGGTCTAACGTAGAGAATCCATACATGGTTTTCATTTTGCATTATGCACAGGGGGTAAAGGGTACCAGAAGCTCAGACTGAATGGTGATTTCTCTTCATTAGTGGAGTGGAGATCAAAGGCAAAACTTTTCAGCATGACAGAACTTCCGTTGTGGAATTAGTTGCTCAGCGCTAAATCCTAACTCAGATCCAACTGCCTTCTTGCTTCTTATTGCAAGTAGGTGTTTTTTACAGAAATAAAGGACAACCATAGTTCTAGACTAACACTGTTTTAGGCCTTTTTTCCTGGATTCAGGTTGATTGTAAAGTTCAGAATTACTGAATGAATGTGGAAATCTACAGGCCATTGACAGTATTAATAAAAAAGAATATTTTTTAACGTTTTATTTCCCTTTGTTTTCCTTTGTACTGTAAAATGCCTTTTCCCTTTTGAACTGTTTATAGATCATTGAAGAGTATACTTTAGAGAATCATTTCTGAACAGAACTGTGAAGAAATATGTTATTGGATATTGCTACTGAAGGATCCTAGATACTCGTCATGTGCACAGTTATAGTACAGCACATATGCAAAATCTTATTTTAAAATCAATACAACTGGACAGAATTGGTGTGAAGCTACAGAAGCTAGATAGACTTATATTAGCTTCTCTGAGCAGCTAGATTCGATATAATCATTCTCACAGTGATTTCTCAACATAATTGCAAGGTAGGGAAAGAAGTTTTCAATATTACAGAGATTTAAATTAAAAGCAAAGGTAGACTTTATTCAGCAATTCAGAAAGGAAATAAAACTGTGAAGAAAGTAATTCTCATCCTTGACAGTGCAGTTTTGTTTCTCCCTGCAGGACCAGGAAAGAAGAAATAAAATATGAGGACTTTTCCTTCCTACAAAATTGGCAGTAAGAGACTCCTCCTTCAGTCGTATGGAACTGAATACATAGATTCTCCCAGACTTAGTTGTTATAGCACTCAGGCTGCCTATCACCAGAAGAGGCATCTGGAACATCTGGCCCATCCCAGCATGCAGCATTGCAGGAAAAACAGATCTACATTGGTTTTGGACACATTTTAGGTCTCAGCATGAGCCATTAAATTTTATGTTGTTTGTCATGCTGACTTCTGCAGCTCCAGAACAGTTAAATAGCATTTACATCACTTTGTGCTAAAAGGCATGCATTACCAACTTCCTGGGGTCAGCAGGAAGAAAATAAAAAGCAAATTAAGCAAATGCTGTGAAACAATGACTAACCCTGAACTATTATAATGCTTCAAGTTACCTTTAAAATAAAAAGGGACTCCTGCCATAATATTCTCAATGACTACCTTGAAGCAGTCGTTATTTCTGTTATACTGCACAGGGAATATTGAAGTGAAAAAATTTATCTTAAAATTAATTAAAAATTAAGTCCCTTCTACATATCGAATTCTAATTCACAAAAAAATTAGAAGATTCAATAGTTTACAATCCAATTTCTTAATATATGACACTACAAAACAAAATATCCAATTACTTAGTAGATAATAAGCCCAGAACATTTACTGCCAAGTAAAACCAGAAAAGAGATCATTATCTTGCTTGAGAATTTAATGTAGTAACCAGTAAATTCAATTTCAGAGTTTCAGAAACTAGTGCAGATTCTAAGGCAGTAAAACCACACAGTTGAACACCATGTAGATTTTCAGACTGGGTCTGGAGTATGAACTTGATGAGCTAATATTCTTCAGAATGACCTCTTGTCAATAGAAAATAAAAACACATCCAGATTTTAACTCTTTTCTAGCAAGCCCAGAGTCAAGCCCAACAGTGCATTTCAACAGTCTCTAATGGATATACTTTTGTGGTATTTACATATACCTCATTGTTTAGCTTAATCTGGTAAACAATGTCTCTTCAGAAGGGAAGCATAGTAAACATCGGAAGTCATGTTCTAAGAAATACTTTATTGATTAATAATTAACCATAATAGCCTTGTTAATTGTAATTGACTCTCCTCAAATTCTGTGACATGAGTCACAGAATTGCGTATCAATTAAATTAGCATTATAAATATATCCTGAAAGGGGCAGTGTTTCTTGACAGTGATATTTTACTGCAACATAGCTTTATGCATCATTTTATATCCTGGGCATACTGCCAATGTTGCATTACCTAAATATCCATTTTATATAGTAACTCTGCATCCTCACAGCAACTTATGAAATCAGCCTAATTGTTTAATTTTAGGTTCCAAATCAACATTCTTTCCAAAGCATTAATCTAGTGGTGAATCTATGCAATTACCCATTTTGTAAAACTTCTTACGTCTGTGTCTGGTAATTTAAACTACTGTTAAGTGAGTGCCTTTTTTGTGTGTGTATGTATTTATGTAAGTGCTTAGAAAATAAAGCAATGGCTAAGCGATGCTGTGTATCTCAGTTCCTCCTTCCATCATGCCATTCTTGTTGGCTTAAAAGACACAATCAATCACCTTCCCTTTACTAAAGATGACTAAGATCCTGTTTAGCATTATCATCTCCATTTTTCAAAGCATTTAGGTAGGCTTAAATTTTTATCTCTATCCCAAAGTTGTTCTGGGCATGTATTAAGTGTAGAGGAAATAATGGAAATTTGATTATAACAGTTCTGCAGTTTTGACTTCCATAAAAAAAAACAACCAACCAAAAAAAAAAACGAAATCAGTTTTGTCATCTGATAGTACTGCCTCCAGGCAGCTGTGAAAAGACAAAACACAGAGCAGAAGAGCAAGGAAAAGGTAAGGTGACTTCAGACAAGTTCTTCTTATTATTTCTTTATTTTTAATATGAAAGTAACAAACGCTGGTTTATAGTGACTTGGTTTGCTAATGTTTAGAAGTATCTTCTTTTTATTAACCTTAATCTTGCTGTAGACTGAATTCTTGATAAAATAAAATCTCATTATCTAAATAAATAAATTAATGTGCCTATGAAAGTCCCAGTAACACCTTTAGATGTGAGATGATCTACCTAAAACCTAAATTTTAATTCAGGAACACACCTATCTGTTATTTTTATCTTCCTTTTTGTTACCAAAAAGCCATTAAATATTCTTTGATATTTAACATTTTCATTCTGGGTAGATATCTTTCAGGACAGATATGCCAAACAGTGTTTTGCTTCTCTTTTCAGAATTCTTTCAGTATTCAAAGTGGACAGATGCGAATACGAATGATTCTGTACTGGCAAGAACCCACAAAACCTGAGTCAACAAATACACAAGAGTTGCTGACACAGTTCCTCTTGTATATTTATAAGGCAGTTGACAAGTGCCTGAGATATTCCGATTCCTATGACTATCTGCTGAAGGACTGCAAAGGTCTGTTTCTAATGTTCAAAACATGTATGGTGATAAAAGAATTTATACCACTCTCTCAGTCAATGAATAGTCATTTTACATGTGTCCACCTCTGTAATTACTACACATTGTAGTAGAGTTTATGAAAGAGGTACTGCGCTGACTTCTTGGGTAGACCAACCACTACAGGTAACATTATCTCCTTTTTTCCGGCTTTCTGTATTTCCTTCAGACCCTTCACATTTGATGTATTATGTCATTAGTTTCATATTTATTGTGCTATCCTACAATATCATATTACTAATTTATCTTGCCTATTTCAAATAGTTGCATTCATATTAATATGCAACGAAAGCCACAGAATGAAGAGCTGCTCCTAGTGACAGTGACTTACAGTTGAAAAAAAATAATATAAAAGTGTGTATTTGTTGCAGACATTTAAGATAATATTTCTATTGAAATTTCTGTTACTACTGGTGATGAGAAATAAATAGACAATGAGCCTGGGAACTTAACCAATAACTATCATTATTTAAAGAGTGCAATTAGCATCTTACCCCATATGACTCATATCCCTTTCTTCAGAAGACAGGTGAGTCAACAGACAATCATCACTCTTCCAGAGATTACCTAAAGCCAGTTGATTCATCTACCATCTTATGAATAACGTTCAGTTTTCTGCAGACTTGCATAATTTTCTCATTCATCTTAAAAAATGAACTACTGCTTTTCTCTCTGGATCTGAAATCCTTTTCTGTGACTTTGTGATCCTGATAATCTATGCAAGATTTTTATATACTTACATGATAAAGTGGAACTGTATTGTTTTCTGCCAGTGAGAAATTCAAGACATCTTGCTGTCCAGGTTCGAGCCTAATATTAATAGTAGATGCCAATACAGATGGACTAATAGGGTAATTTGTACTGCTTGTGGGTTTGCCCTTTTTTCTTGATCTACGACCTGTGTCCCTTTTGTTGTCTTTTTGTGTCAAAGGCTCTTCTTGGATAACCAGTATCTTGTCATCACTCAGATACCGCAGGAGTGAATTCTCAGAGTCAGTTGTTGGAGGAAAAGAAAAGAAAAAAGAAACATTAGTAAGAGGAAACAAAAAGAGAATAATGAAAAAGGAAAGAAAAAGAACTTTGCTATCACCATGCTTCTTGCAAAGTTCATAATTCCCACTGGAATCGATAGAAACTTATTCAATTAGGACTGCTGGTCTGAACATTGAGAGTACAATTGCAGAGTCTTGTTTCAAATACTCATTCATACTAATTGAAACCTGTCTCAAAGAACATAACATCTATAACATCACTTACTGTTTTCTAGAACTGTGAAGATTAAAAACTGATTGCTGTTAACATATATCTGAATTTTATAAGTTTTTTTTTCCCCTTGATGTTTATCTTTTTTTTTATACTACAATTAGATAGAGTAAATCCCTTCTACTAATACAAACTTTTTAATTAGCAGAAACACAAAAGCCCAGATACTAAACAGGTTCTTTTATGTTCTCTGTGGTACTCAAGAAAAGCAGACTGGCTTCCTGTAATGGTATCTTCATGCTTCTTAGGTAACAAAGAAAAAAAACCTTGGAGAATAGGACAGAAAAAAAGAAAAAAATACTCACCTCTGCTTCCCCTCTTGTACATGTTTTGTTCTTTTGACTCCCCTATCCAACTGTACTCAGTAGGCATAGAAACAGGCCTTAAATCTCCTGGAAACAATCCCAAGATAAAACATTATAATTTTTGAAGACTAAAAATAGTGGCAGTATAGATTATGTTTATAAATTACAGTCATGACATGACCCTTCAGAGCAATCCTTTTTATCAGCACCTGTATATTATTATAGGTGTAGCATTCAGGATCAATTAAACACCATATATGCTGGATTCTCCTCTTCATCATACCAATCTGAAGGAAAGTACCACTACTTTGGTGAAATTCCTTGCAAATGGGAAGTAGATTACAAATATGCTTTTGAACTCTGTTCTGTAAAAACTTGCTCACCCATTAAATAGATGTTTTGGAATAATTACAGAATCGGTTTTTAAATGGACTAATATGCTTTAGTAAAACTAGAAAGACTGTTAATACAGATAGAATATTATGTATGTATCAATTAAACAGTAAAACCTCTCTGGCCTGGAAAACCACATGGTGAGTAATGAGGGGATCTCATTTCAAGAGCATGAATTTTAAATGCCTTAAAAAGAAAACATGGAGCGCAGTTTGGTAACAAAAGCAACAACAACAAAAAAAGAAGATTCAGACATTAAGGGTTTTATTAATACACTTTTATTGCTCTGTGGCTGTAAGATATAAATGGGCACTAGTCATTCCCTGCTATAGTATCAGTAGAACATTAATAGCAGGCCATTAAAGGAGGAATACTGCATACCCTACTATAAAGCATTAGCACTCTGGCCTTGTCAGTGTGCGTTATTATCACAAAACACAGAAACACACCCTCTACATTATGGGTTAAGTTCTGTCTGACCCATAAAGCCAAAGATTCATGTTTCCATGTACCAGCTGACTAGATTTTGTGTGTTTATTGAGCACTCGAACACATTTTTTTAAGGTAGCTTGCTACTGTTCTGTTTCTAGGATAATTATGGAACTTAAATGTGAACAAGTGTTTGTTTTCCATTATGAATTTTCCCAGGTTGATTTGAGTGACAAAGTATTTTCTGTGGCTTATTTGCATGCCAATATAGTGTTTTATTCACCATTCTTCCAAAACACAGGTTTGTAGCTACCAAAATGTTGGGAAGGATTTAAGAACAAACAGGTTTATAAGACAAGTATCCTTCTGGGTAACATGGTTTTCTGCAACTGGAAGGGATAACACACCTTAAGTACTGAGATACTCCCATATTATACTTCTACTCATACCATAATAGTTAGTGTATAACTAATTGTATGGTAAATAAATGTTTCCCTATCTGCCTGACAGTTGAAACTAACTACAAATGTATTATTCAATTCCTAATCTCAAATTTGGCGTTAGAAGAACAATACAAATTTAAGAAATAAATCAAACAAAAGGACGAATCAGTAATATGGAAAAGAATGAGAAACAAGTGAAGATTATAAATTTAAAAAAAAAAGAGAGAAAATAAGAATGCACATAACAGATGATGATCAATGTAATAAAATTTAGCAGTATTTCTGTAAAGAGAAGTAAGGTCTGGAGCTCTGGAGAGATTTGTAACACAAACGCTAGATAACTCAGCACAATTGACATCAGAGTAGAAATATAGGAAAGGAAACACACAAGCCAAACAAAGGAACCAGTGATTTTGCATATTGCTTATTTTGCTTCCAAGTTCTTTTGCAAACAAATGTAAGTAACCTATCAAGAGTTTTAACATTGCAACTTGGACATTTAGAACTATACAAAATTACTTTGCACAAGTACCAGTACAAATCAAAAACAAAAAAAACCCTCCAAACTTACTTATGATGTTTTTGCCTCTAACACATAAACCAGAAACAATTTGACAATGCTTTGCCACAAGAACTCTAAATACCATAGCGTGTTAGAGTAGGACTAATGTTATAGTATAACTCTTGATAAGACAAAAAATTCACTGCAGCAATGATAAATACAAGCTTAACTTTAAAAAAATGGTTCAAGAAAATGAACTTATCTGCCTTCCTAGATTTTGCATATATCATCAATATGGACTGTCTCATCTGCCTGAGTATCCTGCCACCTACCTGCTGCATCAGAGAGTGGATTTTAATAAGCACTTTAATTCTGTTAGATCCATGTCAGGATCTTTCTGAACTGTGGTTTATGTGAGTCCTTGCAATACTGAAAGTGTCTGCTCAACCATCAAAAACTTCAGTTTTCATTTTCCTTACTTTGCCCATGGCCATCTGGCTCCAGCATTGGATAGGTGTTAATTGGATCTACCATAAATCCTGTCTTTCCACCCAAAAGACATATCGTCACTTTGAAGGGTCAGATGCATATCTTTAAGTAAAAAAAAATCAAATACTACACATAAGTAGAAAAAAAAGATCTCATTTTAAGTCTGATATAATTGACAGATTAATCTGTAGTTTAAAAAATTTGGGTTTAACAATTGGTTTTGAAACAAAGGCATATTCTTGAGACTTTAAAATAAAATTCCTTCTAGATTTTCAAGGTTACAGAAAATCAGAACTGTCCATCAGAAACACTAGAAAAATCTTGCATATTACTGGGATCAGGCACAGTGCCCAACATTTGAAGTCATTGTGCAGCCTGATTCTATGAAAGCAAGCCAAATACATCCACCTGGCTTCAATTTTAATCACAGTTAAGACTTATCTTTCTTTCTAATTTTATTATAAAATGGTGTCACTTATCAGGTGGATAAAGACTGAATATTACTAGTCTTAAGATGGAATCCTATTCTTCAATGTTACAGCTTCTTCAAGCATCAAGTATATGGCTGTACTAGTTACTAAAAATATCCTATATCTCACAAAGATTTATTAAAGCTTCCCTGTTCTGAAAACACAGTATGTGAATGTATATACACAATCCTGTCCATTTTATAATTGCTATTTTTTCATTTTTTACTGTAAATCCAGCTGTAGTTATCAAAACACAAATACAGGACAAAAGTCTAATTGGGAAACATAAGATAAGCTTGCTTTCAATCTAGTAGAACAACAAAGCCAAAACAAAACTTGGGAAGATGGATGTCCTTTGTCGGGAAAGTCTAGCTACGGTGAATTACCACACTCTAGCAGCGACAGTTCAATGCATTTTGACATAATTTGAAATACCCTTGCAGCTTTTTAGATTGTACCCTCTCAGCTCTTGAAACAGCAGGTGAGGTTACTTTACTGCCGCTTATAAGTTGACCTTAGGCAAAAGGTAATACAGCTGAAACCTTAAGGTAAGCCATGTAAATTATGAGATAGATACCTCACATAAAATAAGAAAACCTCAGCAAACAGATCCTGACAGAGGAAAATGTACAGCTTAAATACCAAAACCTGTTTTGGCATCTGGAGCCATCAGCTCTAACTCTTCTGACATTTATGGTGGTAAGAACACTTCAGTCTGAGAACAGGGATGAGAAGCCGCGTTGGCTTGGCTCTAACAACTGAAAGAAGCAGGGGAAACTACATTTAATAACACACATGGTATCAAATCCTGCACGAGACCAACCACTTCTGTGGCAGACCAACAGAATCAGTGCCTGGAGTGCTGAAAGATTTTTCTCCCCCTCCCCCCCAAGTGTATTCCATTTCAGCTGTTATTGGATCTTTCACTATAACTGCCTTTGGTATTATCTCAATTGAACTGCAGCATGTTTTTATTACCTGGGTTCTTCACAGGCACATTTTTCTTTACTACTCTGAGCTTGTGAGAGGTTTTCCCTTTCCTAGATATCAAAGACCAACAAAAATTAGGAACTTTCTTTATTTTTCTTTTTTTTCTTTTTTTTAACAAAATGTGAGAAAGGAAAAACCTGAGTCTCAGAACGTTTTCTGAGTTTCATTCTTAGGTGAATGAAGTAAGTACTGATGGCATTGCGTACATATATATATATATATATATATATATATATATATATACACCTTAAAAGATATCACCTATCCATACATAATGCTATGATCAGGACAAGTTCTTTCTTGGCTCAGAAGTAATGCTATTTTCAGAAGCAGATGTAATAACAGTTCGTAAAAGAAAACTGTTAAAGTGGTAAACTTTACAGAAAAATAACTTACTGCCTTAAAATAAAACTGCTGAAACTATATGGAGAATACAGTGTTATATTTCAATTGTGCTCTTCCAAAATTCACCAGAACCAAGGAAATAGATTTTAACAGATGAGCAAAAAAAAACCCTGTCAATTCATTTTCAGCAATACATTTTATATGGATATGTATAGTCATATACAAGGTACATACACATATACCTGTACACTCATATGAATTTACATACACAAGAAATTTCCATATAAACCCACAGTAAATTATTGTTTTAATAGCATCTTAGGTTTTAAGCAGTCCCCAGTCTAAGATTTGGAAATATATTTCTGGTATTAACAAACGCACTGTAGGATACTAATGTAATTATATCAGCTTAATACAGCACTGAATTTTGGAGGGCCTTGCATCTTACAGATTCTTTCATACTCCAATAAGTCTTTTCAGGCCCTCCACTGAAGTTTAGCAGGCCACAACACTGCAACTAAAATAATCTCCAAGAGTTTGCGAATGAAATTGAGTAAAGCAAGATGCTAGCAGTACAAATAATATGAACTTAAGTAGCATTCAAAATTTTAAGTATGCACTTCAGAATAAATCTATAAACAACTTAGCCCTGATCATGAATGTTGGCTTGTAATTATACTAATCATTCCTTCACATAAACTTTTGTTTTTTACTCATAGCCAACAGGTCATGGTCTAACAGAAAAAGACAGGTATTTGAGGCACTGCAGTGTCAACAGTACAATCTCCAAATTCAGTCAATTAAAAAATGTAAGAAATCAAACCTACCATGAGTGGGTGTTTTTTCTCTCCTCCGCACTCCTGTAGCTCTGCTTCTCTCATACTCAGAGCCCACAGGGTGGCCTTCGCTCTCGATTAGGGTGTAGTATTTCCCACTTTCATGCTCCAGAAAATAGCTTGGAGAGTCAGAGCCTTTCATCCCAGACTTTCCAAATTTGCTGATGTCATCACAAGACATTATTCCAATTTCATCCCTATAAACAGTAAACCAGAAGATTCTGGAGAATGTAACCACTTTCTGATAAAGCTAAAGTATAAAACTGTCTCTCCCAGGCACTACAAATAAAAAGTCCTATAATTGAAATGCTATTATGTGAGAACTTCCATAAAAGTGATTCAACAAATGTAAATTCATGAAATCATCATTAGGTTTCATTTTACCTGTAAGATAAACATAGTTATTCAGGAGTTTTCTAGTACCTGAGAGGCAGCCCAAGGAATTGATATAACATGAGGAGACAAAGGGTTCCCTTGCAGAAATGCATGCTCTAGAATAAGATTCAAGTGATCACATAAAGGTAAATAAAACTAAACAATTAAAGACTTCTTTAAATCTTTCTTGGTTTCAGCCTAAAAACAGGTTTTGCTCAATTTGTGTCTCTAAATGAAAGTTAAGTCTCTCAAAATAATGATACACTGCTTAAGTTTACTAAACATTCCATTTTAATATAAATTACTACTGATTTTAATAATGTTACTATTAATATTAATAAATATTAATTTCATTCTGGGGCTTTTTGTTTTGTCTGGTTTATATTAATCCAGTGAAATTCAAGTGTAAACTTTTACTTTTCAAAACCTCAAATTAATTAGGAAGTAAATACCTGGGGCCATAAAGTCCTGACATAGGAGACAGAATGAAAACGTCCTGGAGTGTGGAGTTCTCCATTTTTGAGGATATGCCCATGGTACTCGTTGGTGTTGTAGAACTGCTTGTTGGACTGGTTGGAATTACAGGCTGTAAAAAGGAAGAAAAAAAAAAAGGCACATGAAAGAATAAATTAGTGATGTTTTCTGTGCTAAAATTTCTTCACAATGGAGTCAATGTGAATCATTTCAGGAATCTTGACCTCTTTTTTTGGATTATCCTTCTTTTCAAATTCAACTGAACTTTCTTCCAAAAAGATGTTTGCTGAGATACTGTTTTACCAGAGTTCAAGACTAGTTACGAAAGAAACTAATAAAAGACCACTGACATTACTGTAAAAGCCATCTCATGGGAAAAATCTGAGGCTCAGAATCAGAATAAGATTTTTAATCAATGCAGAAAATCAATTACATGGGGAAGGAGGGCAGACACTATCAAATGCCATTAATACAAAAATAATTACAGAACTCTGGAATACTTACAGTGAATGAAAGTATACAGAAGCAGAATGTTGGGTTCAGTAGAAGATTTACTGTTAACAAGGACAGAATAACTAAATTTCTTTTAAGAAAGCAGAATTTATAGTCATGTACTGTTCCTTATTTTTTTTATGAATCCATAGCAGTGATGATTGTACCACTGTGATACAAAGACAGGTTCTGCTGTGACTACCGATAAAATAAAAAGTAACCTAAGTAATAAATGTGATCAATAAATATTGAAATAATAACAATAAATATTAAAAATATAACATAATATAATATAATATAATATAATATAATATAATATAATATAATATAAAAGTATGGGGGTCTTTGGGGATTTCTGCATTTTTAATTTTTAAATAAAGTTAAACACTGTTTTTTGCTCAAATGCCAAGAAAGCTCAAGTCAATGGCTATAAGGACTACAACCAAATATTCTGTGAAGGATACAAAAATATATGCAAAGAATATTTTTCAACACAGGTACAGTCTGTGTTTGTAGTAAAGAAACAGAAAATATTTTTATTTAGTATTACTGTCTAGATTTTGAATATTAATAATTCCCATTCAATTACAAAATTGTGCTGAAATAGACACAGCTAGTTTTGTACAGGTGGAAAGGAAACAGTGACCCTAAAAATTGGATGAAAGCTATGAAGACCAGTTATAATATTTTTCTAAATACAAATTTTTCTATCTTCCAAAGAAAAACACTGACATTATTTTTGTGTGATTCAAAAAGTAAAAGCAATATTAAATACTAAAAAAGGATGCTTTTTCACAAAACTAACATTTTGCATAGGGGTACAAATTATACTCTGCTATGCTTATTGTTAAGCCTCTTACACTCCAATCAAATATTTTAGGTTTCTTTCATGTTATCAATATAAATAGATAATAAGTGATGTGCAAAGACAAGAATAATTCACTACTTACTTTCTCATATCTCCAGAAATTAGGAATATGAAACACAAGTGAAATAACTGATGTACATATTCCTATTTATATCTCTCAGCAAGGCAAGCTCCTTCCAAGATGACATTCAGCTTTTTCTTTACTGTAATTTTCACATTATTTGGAATTATTGCCATATTATTCCATTGCTACATTCTTTAAAACTTCAGTTCATTATTTCCAAGTAGAAATAATCAAAGAATAAGTTACATTTGCCCCTCTTTCATTTCATTACATTTTTAGAGCTTTTTTCTAGTTTTTCAAACTATAATTTTCCAATTTTTAAATACCAAGTGCCCTCTTGGGTCAGAAAGTTAGTAAGCAGATCCTTCAGGGTGTTGGGAAAACATGGAGTGTGTTGGGAAAACAGGTGTACAACATATCTATTGAATATTAAAGGATATATTTATTTCATAGCAAACCATTAATAGCTATTCGCTAGGCAAGGTACCATCAAGTAGTTTTCCACCTATTTAATCTCAATTCCATCTAGTCCTGAATTCTCTATGCCATACTTATGAGGATGTCATAAGAAAAGGTATTAATATCAGGGTAAGATATACAGGTTCTGTCCTATCCACCAGGCCAGGTAACTGCTCACATGAGAGTTTTAAATCTGTTTAATGATTTCTTCATAATAAATTCATACTGATTTTACTTATCTGTTATCTTCCAAGTGCTCATGAACTGTTTGTGCATACTAAGTGACCGACTTAGAATTCTCTGGCTCTTACATTTCCACTTTCTGAAGACAAGCATTATACTTCTTGTTTTTTGAATGTTACTATAATTCATCCATCCCTCAATTTCACAATAAATATGTTTGAAAAATAACGGTCAAAGAGTGGCCCCACTCAACACAATAAAACAAACCCCAGCTCTTCTTGCCTTTTCCATTGGTGTACTGTAAGAGCTTGTCTGCTGAGTTTACAGAAATATGCGTTCTTGGAGTTCACTTTCCATGTAAAAGGGCTGTAAGTTTTTAAGAAAATACACTGACTTGTGACTGTTCTCAGTAAGTTTTATCCTGCCTTCTCCCTCTCGGGTTTATGTTCTCTACATTCTGTATGAAAAATACCTCTCTTGATGCTTTCCAAGAATTTGTGGGCCATTATGTCTTTGGAACAGGGCCTGTTTCTATCACTTTCTCACAGGATGTGTCCACTTCAAATACACCGTATTGGGTGATTCTGCTGCTTGCTGACAAGAAATCTTCACTCAGCTGGCCTGGGAATCTTTAACAAATAGAAGAGAGCACCCTGTTTCTTCTCCTTTATTATCACTCAGATTATTCCAACTAATTTGGTTGTTCTATGATCTGGAGCTCAGAATGAAGGTAGCAAAGACGTGTACCTGCACTCTGAGCTCTAGGCACGTCTGTGATATCAGACATGGAATTTCAGTGGTTTAAGTATCTGCAAAATAGCACAGGGGTCTTACAATATTATTAAAACACGAGTTTAAGAAGTGTGTGCAAATAGAAGCAGAAATGAAAAAAATTGCAAGAAAACCATATTAATAAGGGACTTCTGAAAAGTGACACTTTAGGTATCTACTCTTGTTATTCAAATTTTTTCATGAGAATAGGTAATTATTAGAAAAATAATTAAGCATTGCTGAAATATAATAAAAAGGAAAGACAAATGGTAAATTCAACACTTATCAGAAATAAGCAATTGTCTGCCGAAGAGGAAATTTTCAGACACTTTCAGAAACAAAATGCATTGCTGTAACTCTGAGGGAACTTTGCAAATATGGGGGAAATTAAATATCGTATCTCTTTTGAAAGTGCTGTTCAAAACAACAAACAAGATCCCATATATCCTGCAAAAACCAAGAGGACAGGATGCAGGAAGCTGGTAAAGCCTGGTGGTACAGCAACAGGAAGCTTGAATATGGACATCCCTTACCTTTTGAGGGGGTATGAAGATTAAGGTTGGGGTACTGAGTCTCTGCTTTCTCCCTTGAAGGAATAAACTCAATCCCCAGAATTCCCCTGATGGGTGAATTCACAGAAAACACACAGGTGTCACTCTTCTACATGGGTTGCCTGCGGTAAGGGAAAATGGGGCTTTGTAACTGCGTATCACCCTATACATTCCTACAGCGTGTCATTTTTGTCAGAATAGATTAATTCATGCCAGTGATACAGCTGACTAATAAGACAAGCTTCTATAAAAAAATAATATTAGTGTTCAACAATACAAATACTACTCACAATAAGAAACAGAACTCTCAATACTGTGGAGCATTTCCTGCGTACTGGTAAGTTGGTATAGCTGTGCTGTAAGATTGCAGGTACGTTCATGGTGCTTTCAAGTCTTGTGGATTTTGAAATTTGAAATATGAACTTTACTTTTTTTTTTTTTATGTGTAGATGATAATTTTTGTCCTCAGAGCAAGAGGATACAATGAAATATTTATTATTATGACAGAAGTCAATAAAAGCATTAGTGGCATTAAGATGAAAAGGAAATGATGATTTGGCATCTCTTCAAGACATTTAGAGAACAGGACACAACTTTATTACTTGCTGCATTTTCTTTATGCTACAAGATTCTCCTTGCCCTTTTTTTTTCTCACTGATATAATAAAGTATATGGGCAGCACATAATTTCAGAATTCATCTAAGCAATTCTATAAGGGTACAGTACCTGAACTATGAACTGAAAACTGAGTTGAGTGGTATACACCAAACCTGCTATTTTCCTTTTTTCACTCTACAAGTGTCTGTTCTCATAATGCTGTAGAATTTATCTTTGTACAAAGCAAGAACTCTCCAAATTCACATGGTTTTCAAAATCTGAAATGAGCTGTTTAGCTGGAATCATTCTGAAGGTACTTATAAAGATGCAGAACATAACATACATTTCTAATAAATTGTCACTGTTGACATAAGCTTTACTAGTCATATCAGCTGACAGATTCTATCTCTCAAGTTAAATAATAAGAAGTGCAATAATCTGGATCAAGTAGTAGTAATCCACTTTGAAAGATTCTGCAAATAAAAAGAAAAAATGCAATAAATGTTGTATTTTATTTGATTGAAGTGGCTGGTGTGCTCACTTTTATAAAAAACAGAGCAGCATTTGCCATTGCAGATGGAAGAACCATTTTATATCGAGTGGGAAGGTAATCAAAGAGTTTTAAAATTAAAAGAGTGTCCTAATATCACATAATGCCAACTAGAGGCAAAAGGAGAAAATGGTATCTACTGACATGCCTTACTGAAAGCTAATTGTAGCACAAAACATGTTAACATTCTGCTGTTGTTAATTAAGCATCAAGGGAAACTATATGCAGCAAAGGAATACTGTGAGAGCAGAAATAAATTTTATAAGGATTCATAGATTGTGTATCATTAATAATTCATAAATTAACTGTGTGGTACAATTTTAAACATAATTATTGTGGAAAGAATACCAGTAACACCTGTGAGTGCCTTGAGCAAGAATAGAAAACACCGTTTTCTTAAAAAATTCCCACTGCATACTAAATGGAGTTATGAAATACTATTTCTGGCCTCTTTTTCTATAGACTGTTGCTTAAACTGGTCATTCCATCTCCTACATTCATACAGCTGCTTACTTTTGTCTCAGTATAAAACCTTCTGCCTATGCTGAATGTATACTGCTTATTTCTGTCAACAGCCTCTGACAGTGTCTGCACTGTGAGAACCAATTTAATCCATTAATGATAGAAAACTCCATAAAAACAAATAAATAAACCCAGAAGCGTTCCTAAAAATTCAACAAATTAAACTGATCTACAGTCTAAAAAATGCCAAAGTCAAACAAAGGCGAGGGCATTCTGCTGCCAAGAACAGGGAGAGGGAAGTGAGATCATTGCTTTCCAGCAGCATCAAGCTGTTATGTCAGCTGTCCAGGAAACAGAAGCTCTAGTATCATCTTGAAATTTAATCATGCTAGTTCCAAGTCATTAATGACAATAACAAATAATACCAGATCCAGGTGAGACCTGCAGAAAACAGGCAAAAGCAAACTTTGTATCTTGAAATACATCCAGGTCCTAATACTTGAGCTTGCCTCTGTGGCACGAAGGCTAAAGAAGACCTAAAGATGCTCAAGATGACCCAAAGTTGGTTTTCAACATATTACAAAATCTACTGTTAAGAAGTACCATTGGCAATGCTTTTTAGATTCTCCAAAATGATGTATTTTTTTCTTTCAATTCTTCAATGCATTGTTCTCCAATTCAGAAGAAACATATTCTAGTGATGTGACACTTAAAGCACCCTTTATCCTCATGGGCTCTTGTGTTCTGGGTCATCAGGAGGGGACACATCACAGAAATAGAAACTGTAGATAATTACACAAAAATAGCTTTGTGTACTGTCTCTTATCTGGCCACCACAGTAAAGATCAGCATGTTTAAACAGGGGAAGTTTATAAGGAGGAAATTCTTTCCTGTTAGGGTGGTGAGGTGCTGGAGGGCACCGGTGAGGCTGCCCAGGGAGGTTGTGAATGCTCCATCCCTGGCAGTGTTCAAGACCAGGTTGGATGAGGCCTTGGGTGATATGGTTTAGTGGGAGGTGTCCCTGCCCATGGCAGGGGGTTTGGAACTTGATCTTAAGGTCCTTTCCAACCCTAACTATTCTATGATTCTATGGTTCATGGGAAGTGCCATGTATACAGTACACATTGTTTTCACACTGACAAAACTTCCAGAACTAGTGCTGCTTGTGAATGATGATTCTTTAACGTAATAAAGAGAGGATCTCTACAGAAGCCCTGTTGCAAACGCAGTTTCCATTTTGCTGCTCCTGGAGGCTTCATATGAAGTTAAAGGAATTGTAAAGCGTTCAGATGTGGAAAAATTCCTTTTAAAGAAGAGCAAGTTTCCTAAGATCTACCTGTCACAGCACTTTAAGCTTCTGATGAAATACAATGTAAGGCCTGCATGAGTAAAATTACTAGAGAACTGTTGAATAAGCAAGGCTTCCCAGCAATCCAAGATTATCACTTTGTGAATGCTACTGAAGAATCAGATTTTGGAAAATCAGAATAAAGGAGAGTCTTCACTTCAAGATCAGAGATCAATCAGTGGTTGGTCAGTTAATTCCTGAGCTACCTGGAGCTGAAGAAGAGAATTTTGCTGGAAAGTAAAAATGTTCCAATTGAATTTCCTGTGATCGATCAGAAATGCTTACTGGAACTGGTACAAGAAAGCCAGTTACAGCTGGATGAAAATGAGCTCCCTCATGCAATTCACTTTCTGAATGAACCAGGTGTACTATTTTCAAGTCCCAGCACTGCAGCTGAGAGATCTATAATTTTTAGATCCTAAGTGGCTGTGTAAAATCATGGTGCAGATTCTGACAGTGAAAGTGGAAGGCTTTTTTAAGTATCCTAAAGGGTGCAAGGTGTGGAAGGATGTCTCTGGTCTGGTCCTGGCAAGGAGGGAGGTGGCAGACTTCCCAGACTGGGTGGTGCCTGAGCTGGTCTGGACAGAGCTGGAGGCCCTGGCTCATGAGCAAGGGCATTTGGAGACAGACAAGACCATGGTGATGATGTGCTCCCCTGGTTGATGGGTAAAAATATTTTTGCATATTTTTTAGCTTGGTTGAGGTCTGGGGTCGAGAAGTCGCCTCTTCTTCTTCCTCTGATTCACATAATAATCACTCCTGATCAGATGCTGTCCCATGTAGTAAGTGCATTGTTTCTTCACCTTTCTTCATCCTTCTTGCCTCTTTTTTGCTTTTCCCCTTGCGTACAGCGGCAACCAGTATTGGCACGAATTGTTCCTCTGGTTTAGCTGCAGTGATTCTCACTGCGGTTGGAGTGGCTGCAGTATCTGTTCTTGGGGTTTGGGCAGCTGCTGTACTTGTCACTGGGGTTGGTGTAGGTGCTGTGCTTGAGCTGGAGCAGCTGCATTATCTGCTGTAGTCAGAGTTTGAGTAGCTGCTGTACTTGTCACTAGGGTTGGTGTAGCTGCTGTATTTGGAGTTGGAGTAGCTGTGCTGTCTGTTGCTTTGCAATCGGATCCGGAGACATTTTCTTCCTTTTGAAGGTGCTGGACAGTGTTGAGCAGGGCTTTGTAATCATAGGCCAAGCCCCAGTATGTTGCCATGATTTGTCCCTCTCTGCTATGACCAGCATGACAACACACCTCATTTGAGTGTTTTACTAGTTTTTCTGGATTTTGCACTTGTTCCATGGTGAAGTTCCAAAGCACTGGAGGGGCCCACTGGCCTAGATACTTGCCCGTACTGTCCCACACACCCTGCCACTCATGACTGTCCAGCCTCGGGGAAAATCTCTTGGTCCTCCTATATTGTCTTCTAACCCTAGACAAGACCCAAACCCGACTCTGCTTAACTTTTGAGATCAGATGAAATGGTTGTGGGTAAAACACACTCTGCGTATGTGCCAACATGCTGATCCCCATCACAATCAGCAGGCAGGTCTTAAGGGTACCCAAAGGCAATTCAAAACCTTCAGAACTCTCAAATGATGCTGTAAATCATCTGGTGGGGGTGGGGGCTGGGAACATAAGAAAATGTCTCCTTCATAGGTTGACCATCCAAGGAGGGGAAAAAAGATGTGTAATTGCTAAACACTTCTGTTATATACCTCCCAAAGTATAGAGGTGGTGACCACACTGGGAACGCAAGCCAGATCAGTTTCATGATCAATGAGTCTATTGTATTACAAGTCATTATGATAAAGTACAGTGAAACAAGAACCTTAGCCCAAGCCCTCCAGCCAATAAACACTAACACAGCAAATACCAGCTGTAAGTAAGGTATGACATGCTGAAATTCTGAGATCAAGAGCAACAACTTTGAGAGCCAATAAATCAGCATTGTGATGACTATTACTCTGAAACAATAAATGCTTATATCACAAATGCGATTAGACACACTCTGGTCAGATCTGTCGTTATCTCAACCCTTCATGCCCCACGTTGGGCGCCACAAAGAACTGTTGTGGTTTAAGCCCAGCTGGCGACCCAGAACCACGCAGCTGCCTGCTCACTCCCCCCTTCTTGCTCCCCCCCAGCTCCTGGAAGGATGTGGAGGAGAATCAAAAGAATGAAACTCACACAGGTTGATGTAAGAACAGACCAGTAACTAAGGTATAACACAAACCACTGCTGCTACCACCAATAATAATAATGATAAGGGAAATAACAAGAGAAGAGAATACAACACCTCACCACCTGCTGACCAATACTCAGCCCAACTTGAGCAGTAATCCAGCCCTTCTGGGTAACTGCCTCCAGTTTATATAGTGGGCATGATGTGCTGTGGTATGGATATCTCTTTGGTCAGTTTGGGTCAGGTGTCCTGTCTCTGCTTCCTCCTGGCGTCCCCTCCTCCCTGGCAGATCATAAGACTCAGAAAGTCCTTGGTCAGAGTAAACATTACTGAGCAACAACTAAAACCATCGGTGTTATCAGCACTGCTCCCAGGCTGAAAGTCAAAACCACAGCACTGCACCAGCTACTAAGAAGGAGAAAAATGACTGCTACTGCTGAACGCAGGACACGAGTAGATTCACGAGCATGTCAATAGAGCAAAGAGTGTTTTTCCTGTGCCCTTGTGACAGAAAAACCCGAGCAGTCCCGATTCTCCTCTGGGTGTCACCATGCCCTTTTCCTCTCCCCCGGAGGTAGCCACACAGAAAGAAAAGATGGCACTAAATCCAAGTGTCAGCACTCCTGCGCTGCAAGGATTACACAAACTCGTTGAGTGAAGCCGCTGTATGGGATTTAGGCAATTTGAGTAATGAAAGATTCAGGAAGTGCCAGGCAGGAAGGAAATTTGCCTGGTTAAGCTTGAAGGGTTTGCTCTGTTTCATTAATTGAAAAATTATTCAGAAACACATTCATGCATTATGTGATCCAAACAAAGCCACTCCGAAGCTCCCTCCTCATGAAAGTGCATAAAGTTATTACAGAATGTTATACAGTGTTAAAGATAAACATGCACACTTACTAACTTACTCAAAAACTTTAATGACATTTTGGGTTCAGTCTTTTTATGGTCAGTTTTTCCTACATGTTGATGCTGTAGGAAGAACCAGCTGTGATGTTCACAGTTGATTTTTTTGACAACAGATTTTCAAGGAAGAAGCATGCAAGAAATATTAGAGGTTCTATCAGCACTGCTACCAAAAACTCAAGCTTGATGAGAGATGTGGAACAGAAGCAGACTTTTCCTGACATTTAAAAGGTCTGACACACCTGATTACAAACAAGTACTTTTGACAGACTGTGAAATAATGGAAACAGAGAGAAACGTTGCCAGTGCCAGTCAAAGCAAGCTACAGAACCTTAGGCAGCCTTCTTCTTCAGTAGCATTGTCTGCAAACATTCTCTCTTCTGTGAATTCCTGTGGCTCCCAACAAAACAACCTTATTGACACATGCAGTATTGACACACATACTTATCTCAGCACCTACTTTGGAGGAATTTAGGACTTTTTAGAGGCTCCTGTCCCTTTCACTGGAAGTAAAAATTCTAGTGTTTTCTCTTGAGTGAAGGTTTTCCCATGACATGAGCATTGCAGCAGCCTTCTTACCTGAAGTGCAAGAGGTTTCCACCTCACATTCTTCAGAAGGGCAGGAGCAGAAACCAGGGTATTCTGAGGACGTTTTTTCAAGGTTAAAATCACTCCATTTGGGCCTTCCCACAACGCATTTACTAGGTTCTTTAACTGCCAGCCAACCTACGGATAAATTCCATAATTGAATTTTGTAAGCTTTCTGTTTAAATGTGAAGAAAGTCTTCTATTAACCAAAAAGGTCTATTACAGCTCTGCAGACATAAGCAGTTTTTATAAACTGTCTGATTACTTCTGTTGGACTGAAATGATGCTGCTGAAACTGTATTTTTTTTTTAGTTTCTCTCAATGAACACCATTTCCTTCTTAATAATCTGTGAGATCATTATACATTTTATGTCAAATGAAGACTAGGAGTCATGAAATAATTTCAGCCTGGATACTGAAACAGCTCACTGCTGAGGAGGAAGACAAACTATGCTATAGCAACATATGTAACATATATGTAACAGCTTTAAGATCCTAACTGAAGAGAAATGATCATTTATTTGATTTATCTATAGACCCCTTGATAGAGCTGAGTAATTTGAGTTTCTGTAAGTTGTAAACAAAGCTATAAGGAAAGAAGATAGCTAGTACTGGAAGGATTTTATATGTGCTGCTAACAAAAAGCTACTTAGACATATTTCCTAATTTTCTTGAATATTTAAATATGAATTTACTGTGAACTGTTGATATGTGAAAACAGAAAATGTATTTTTATGGTTTTTTTTTAAAATAAATGTTTACAATATGTTATCCTGAATGGTTGAAGAGATTTTAAAACTGAAAAATAATATAAATGACAGTACATAAAGATGTTAATGATAAAAGTACTTTCTTACACGTTTAAGTGCTGCTGAATTTCTATCCATATTTCCCCAGGCATACGAGAACCAGAAAACGGCAACAAAAAGGGTATCAAACCAGTCAGAGATGTAAATTCAGAACTGAAAGTGAAATTGGGAAAAATCCACATTTTTCCAAACCTCAGCCAATCTGCCATGTTACGGCATTGAAATTACTGCAATTGTACGAGTTTAAAAAAGAGAATAAATTTGGCTCCGCTCAGCAGTCCTTTTGCCCTTTCTATATGCAACTGATGCATTAGTTTGTTCGCTATGAATAAAATGAGAAAATCCTACTGCTTAGCACTCCACAGGGAATTATCATTAAAGTTGATCTGCACAATTTCCTGAGCAACAGGAAGTTCCTTTAATATGACAGTCTAAAAAAAAATAGTAAATCTTTTGCAGCACCCAAATTAGTAATGATAGACAAATCCATTGCAACACTTATAGGATTTGCTAACATTCACTTCTAAAGCTTGAAGTTTTGGTCAATATACTTACAACCTGATCTAGATGACCAGAACTACATCACAAAGTTTGAAATTAGTCTCTCTTCCACTGGCACCTGGAAAATGGTATGATGTCTAAAGAAGACTCTTAGTTACTCACACCTAATCTTAGCTCTGGGTGCCCAGGGCTAAACTATTGCCTCCATTTACTCTCATCTTATTATTTTCAGGCAGTACACAAAGAATCTTGCTGAAGCAACTCAAGTTACAAGAACAAGCCTAACTAGAAAGGAATTATTGGAAAAAGTAACCACTTGCAAGTGACAATTAGGTTACTGGTTCACGTTCAGCTCTAGGAAAAAGCAAGGCATGCATGTTTAAAGAGAGGTTTTGGAGAATATTGCTAGCTTTACTTATTCACATCTTCTCCAGTTCATATGTGATTTCCAGATTTGCCAGGAAGGAAAATGAATAGATGCAGGATAGACTCTTCACTTACCCTTTTAAATATTGCATCCTTTATCAAACATTACTTGAGTCAGGTGTTAATTTGAAGACTGGTGTTCTCTACGCACGGTTCTGCTAAACAGAGCACTATGCACAGGATGTTTTTTCAAAAGCCAGTCTCTTTCACAGAAAAGCTGAGCCCCCAGCACCTCTAAAAGTGCCTGTATTAAACTCTTACCTCCATTTTCTGCTCCAAACATGGCAGATTTTTACAGTACTAATAAATGACCACAGTAAACACCTGTCATAAATGTTATAACTATCACAAGTCTTAAGCCTAGTGTCAAGTAGACCTGTAACAAATAGGAATTGGAATGCTGGGTTCATACAGCACTTCTCCAAACACAACCTTACTTGAGGCCAAACTGAAGCAGCCTGGGAGTGAACATTTAAGAATGAAAACCTTAGGGAATACTGTAACTGTACTGCTGTTTTATTGCTCTTGTATTATGCAAGCATTAAGTGCAGTTGTATTTGCTAGGCTTTTTAGTTTGACCTGTGTGTGGAACTTCACTATAATGTTTTAATCAGACTTGCCCTTCTGGCCTAAGTGTGTATGCTCACTGCTATCAAAAAACAAGGGAAGATGAAAAAAGACTTAGGTGCTCAGAACCAGAGAAGTCAGCATACATCACTGCACTGTAACAGGGATAGTTTGCAATGACTTTATCTTAGAGGAAGATAACATCTAATTACACACAAGGGTGGAGGGAAAATAGTAAAGGTAACCTTGAAGAGATTTAAATTAAAATCCTCTTATAAGGGCTGAAGGGAAGCTAAGATATAAACTGTAAGGCTCTAGCCTGTCTTCACAGTGGGCCAAAGTCAGGCTCCCCAGCATGAACATTTGGCTCAGAAAGAACTGCAGTATATTCTGTAATTCTGCAAAGGATTTTATTAGCTTTTTTTAGTATACTGGTTTTAATGTTGCTGTTCGATCGAACACTTTCTAAAAATGCACTGGCCACGGGAAACCAGAAAATGGTTGTAATTACAAGCAGGCCACAGCCAAACAACTTGTCAACTTGCATTCCAAACAAACCCTTCTAGTTTGTGCTTTGCTTATAAAGTGGCAGAGGCTATATCTATCTATCTATCTTACTCAATTATAGAATTAAAAATGAACTATTTTTGATTTTTATAAGATTGATGTAATTTTTGGATGTAATTGTAAGAATGCGGAAATCTTCAGAGTTCCATGAGCTTCTTTTAGAAAAGAATGATAAATAATTAAGTTAATGATAAATTATTCCAATAAGAACCTTAATGACAAAACCATTAAATACCAAGATCTATAAGAGAACAGTCTGCAGTCATTACTACTAGGCGATGATAAAATGCTCTTAGGAGTTTGGACATGTTATTATAAATTGTATTACTAAAAATATCTTTGAAAAAATAGAAGTCATTACAGTGAATTAAAAGTCCTGCTTTAAAACCAGTCCTTGAGACAGATTTTGGCATTTATTCTTAAAGAATCAGTTTCTAATAGCAATTACTAGCTTCTAGCTACTCTAAGATATATTCAGCAAAAGGGCTTTTTGCTCCTGTAAGATTTTTAGCACACACATTGTTAATCAGATTCTACAATATGGGTTAAGATATTTCACTCAGTAATAAAAGTTAATGTTAAAATTAGACTAATGAAGGAAAAAGACTAATGTGATACCTTCTGTATTTTCCTGAATAAATTAAATCAGAGCAATTATGATACCCGTTACATTCAAAACAACAAATTTAGAAGATTATTATGTCCTATTTGCACAGCACAGTAAAGCTGTAGTCATGGTGCACTGTTCTCTGCTAAACATGTTTGCATATTGAAATTCATTGCACCAGTTTTGATCTTTTTGTAATCTACAACACCTAGAATGTGGAAAGCCACATGCCTACTGCAGTCTTACTTCATAACTCAACATACAAAAGACAGTCAGGTGCCACCAATAAGAACTGCTACTACAGTGATACAGAGTTTGTAGATACTTAATAGCTTAAACCAACTGATTTTTAACTTCAGCTTTGTTTTGCTTAGATGCCGAATATGGAGGAAACCTTGAAGAATGCAACACAATTCACTGGAAATGGTAAGAGCCAGGCAGAAGCTTAAGATTTTGGTGGTTTATACTTGGAATTGCTCTTATCAATATTTTTTGTTGATTTGTACGTCCTCAGTGTGGAAAGAAGGACTCCAGGGAAAAAAACATGTACTACTCTCTAAGTTAAAGGATTTGTTAGTTTTTTCATTGATGGCACAAGCTAGAGAATTAGTGGAAACTGTAAACTATAGTAACTTAAAAAAAATAATAGTTCCGAAAATATTATTCCCTACAATGCTAAACTTCTTCACCATAAAAGTATGATTTAAATGTCCACAATGCTGTAGGAATTTTGCATACCTAAACCTGATAATTTTGTAGCTGGGACAGCATAATTAATATGCTTAGAAAAATACAACTAACTTTCCTGAACTGACAATGAACTGGTTTGTTTCCTAGTTCTCCAATATCTTCTTTAGAGTTTCCATATAGTGACTTTGTTCCTTCTCATGTAGATACGGATGGATTGGATTTGGAATGCATGCTACCAGCAATAGGGATTTGGGCATTTTTATAAACCCAAACCCTGTTCATGCTGGACAAGCATCTTTCCTCCTCTTTTAAGATAAAGGCTACCTGGCCTGTGATGACTCAGTGACGATGGGTATAAAAACCAAAGTAATACAAAAAAATCAAAAAAATCCTTAATGCTACAGGCACACAAAAAAAGACTGAAGAAAACACAAACTGGTGAGTTTGTGGATGTCTTCATGGGCTTTAAGTGAGTGATATCTTTGTCTATTATAAGGAACTGAAAAATAAGGTGGACTGTTGAACATGTTGGTGCTTATCAAAGGACTCCAGTGGTCAAAACCACCACAACAGTTAATCATCTCCACACCAATTTCTTCCAAACACATTATAAACTTGTTATGGTACAAATGTAGAAGACACATCTCAAATAATGGAACTAGGAGTGCGCAGTGGATAGAATAACTATATTCCTTTATCTGAAAATTCCGGGAATAAAGCAGAAGCACAGTTCCACAGTTCCTTCACTGCCTTATCAAACCACAAGCATCTATCAGGGCTCTTAAGAATGAAAAAGTCGTAAGAAATACAAAAACACAGACTGCACCTCACAGAAGCAAGGCAGGTTACACCTTGCTTGTGAAACTTGTGCATATTCTACTCACCGCACCATATACCAGCTTTAATGTTACCTAGGATCCGGAGCTATAACTAAACAGGAATTTAAGACTTCCCTTTTAGGCATTTAATCT